TCTATAGATTTATTAATTATAGTAGATAGTTAATAAAAGATTTTGGTAAAATTATGGATTTTATTATGATTATTATATACGGAAAAAAAGGAACTTTTTAATGGATATTAAAAGTAAATAAGGTTTTTAAGGAAATATAAAAAGCCATTATTAATAATTTAATAATAAGATTATTTAAATTAAATTAGTTAAAACAAATTTATATAAATAGATTTAACGTAATTATAGGCGTAGTTTTAGAATAATTTAAGGATAATAGGATATGGTATTTAATGGTATATTTATTTAAAACCTTTAAAAAAGCTTAAATAAAATATTAAACTTACAATAAAGAATTATTTATTATTATAATAATATTTAAAAAATAGAAGTACTGGCTTAGCAGAATTAAAGAATTAATTATAATATTATTTAATTATAATAACTTTAAAATGTTAATGATTATTTAGAAATTAAGATTAAAAGTTTAAAAATAAGTAAAATACCTTAATAATTTCAATTTTAAAATAGTTTATGTTGCGGGAAAAGTTAATACGTAAGTAAATGTACTTAATAAACCTAATGGTGTTAGTACAAAAGATATAATAAAAGAAAAAACAGTACTTATATTAAATAAATAAGGAGTATTTATTTTATTAATATTATATCTTATAAAAAAAGATAATATCTAAATAATATATATTAAAAAAGTGTTATTAATAAAGGAATTACCCTTAAATATTAAAATAAGAAAAGGTATAATTATTTATTTAAATAAAGTATATATATTAAAGATTTTATAATATAAGTTTATTAAAAAATATTATGAATATTTATTATATAAATATTAAAAAGTCTTTTAAATTATATAATAAATTATAAGAAATTATAATTTTTTAAGTTTATTTAAAGTAATTAAAGAAGTAATTAATGATTGTAATATATATAATAAAATAAAAACAATTAAATATAAGTTATATAAGTTTATATAATTTATAAAAATTTTAGATAAAGTTTAAAAAATTATTGTATAAAATTTTATTATTAAGTTATCATTATTAAAAAAACTTATGATTAATATATTATATAATAATATATAAGTAATAATTAATAAATTAATTAAATATGGATATTTTATATTATATAAAGAATTTAATATAATTAAAGATTTAGTTTATATATTTTTTAAATATATAATTAATAAATATAAATTATTAAAATATATTATTTTAAATAAAGATAAATTATTTATATTTAAGTTTTGGATTAATTTAATAATAAAAATAAGTATAAAATAAAGATTGTTAATAGTATATTATTTATAATTTAATAAATAAATAAAATGTTTAAATTAAATATTAAAATAATATTTTTGCATATATATTAATAAAATGTAAAATAATTAAGTAAAATTATTATTATAAGTAAAAATTATATATAATAACTTTATAAATAAAAATATAAAGATATTTTTATTTAAAGTAAATATTAAATATAATTTTATTATTATAAAATTAATTAATATAAAAGAAATATTTATCCTTAAAATAAAAACTATAATAAAATAAGTTATTATTATATAAAAATATTTAATAAATAAATTTAAATTTTTATAAATAAAAATAAAAAAATATAATAATTAATATAAAATCGAAAGATTAATTTTTAAAAAGGGAAATAAAGTTTATTTATTATAATAAAATATTAAAATTAAAAGATTAAATAATAAATTAAATTATAAAAAACTTAAACCTTTTAAAATTAAAAAAATTATTTTAAAAATTAATTATAAATTATTATTATTAGTAAAAACGAAATTATATTTAATATTTTATATTTTTTTATTAAAAAAAGTACTTGAAAATACGTTAATATAAATTACTTTAAATATTAAAGCTAATTAAAAATATAAAATTAAAAAGATATTAAATTTTAAAAAATTTAAAAATTAAATTAAATATTTAATTAAATAAAAGGATTATTTATTAAAAGAAAATATATAAGAATTAATTAAGTACTTTAAAAATATTTAAGAATTTATAAAAATATTTTATTAAGAAAATCTTAATTGCTTATAAATAATAATAGATTTATTCTTAAGTTAAAACTATCTTAAAAAGCAATAGCCCCATTAAGGTTATCTTTGGAAGAATTAAGTAGTATAAATGGATTAACCTAATTAAAGATATTTTAATTCTTACTTTCTTCTTTTTTTTCCTTTTTACGATTTAACTCCTTTTTACGTTAAAAAATATAAAAGGCTTTATTTTTAACCTCTATTTCTTTAACACAAATTTTTTTAAAATAAGAAATTAATTATAATAACTCTTTTTAACACTGAAATAATTTTACGGTTTTGTTAAATATTTTGTCCTTAATTTTATAACGTTTATTTTTATAAGATTTAATTTTTCTTTTTAACTTATTAAAAGAATTCATTTTTAAAACGTTATAATTAAAATAATTATATTTATAAATATAAATATTGCAATTAAATAAATTAAAAACAAAAATATAAGAAAATTTATTAAAACGCTTATAATTTAAATAAAAAATAAAGATAATATTAATTAACTTAATATAAAAAGTACGAAATTCCTTATTTTTTTGTTAATTAATATAGCTTTTTTATTTTAAAATAAATTTAAATATATAATTCAATATTTTAATAAATTAATATAAAAAAGTATAAGAAAGAGAAAGGAAATTATATTAAAAACGTATTTATTAATAGATTTTTAAGGGTAAAGAACTTAAGAGAAAAAAAATAATGTTATAAATTAATAATATAGGAATTATATTTTATATAAAAACAGGGATTTTAAAATATATAATTTTAAGAACGGGTAAACTATAAGTAAAACGTATTAAAAGGAAGTGATCCTAGTGATTTTAATAATTTTACAAGATTATTAAAATTAATAAAATTATTAAGGATTATAATAACTTTAAAAAATAGGAAAGGTTTATAAGATATTTAAAATTATTATATATTTAAATATTTATTTATGTTTTTTTAATTATTAATTTAAATTTTATATTTAATTTATATAAAGGGAAGGACTTTAAGCCTTTTTAATAAATACTTTTAACATTTTATTAATACTTAATTTATATTATTACTATTTACTTAAAATTAAAACCCCTGTTACTATACTTTAACGGACTTAAGTGTAAGTTTATCATAGTAATTTACGTTAATTATAAAACTTTTATTTAATTCTTTTAAAATTCTTTTTTAAAAAAATATAAAAAAAAATATTTATTTATTAATAAATATATATATAAAGTAAAAACAAATAATAAATAAATTAAATTATTTTTATATAATTTAAAATTATTATAAATTAATATTAAACGTAAAAAAACATTAGTTTAAAATGTTTAAAAATAGGGTTTTAAATATATAAATAATTGGGTAAACTTTAAAAAGTATTATTAATATTAATAAATTTAATAAATTAATTAAATTTACGAAATTATATAAAATATATATAAAATAAAAAAGCTTATAAGTTTATTTAAATTATTATATATTTAATTATTTATTTAAGTTTTTTTTAATTATTAATTTAAGTTTTATATTTAACTTATATAAAGGGAAAGTTTTTAAGCTTTTTTAATAAACATTTTCACTTTTATTTTAACATTTAATTTATATTATTATTATTTATTTAAAAATTAAAACTTATTAACATTATACTTTAATAAACTTAAATATAAGTTTGTTACATATAATTTATAATATAAAATACTTTAAAATTTAAAACATATACCTTTTTTACGTAACAATTATTAAAAATAAAATAGTAATAACTCTTAGAATAATTCTATAAATACCTTTATTTCTAGTATGGTAGTAACGGTTTTCAAGTCATTTACCCTTAAGATGGGTAAGCGAGGGGTGCTTGAAAAAACTATTACTTAATGATATTATCGTTCCAAAGTCATGAGCCTGAGCTGAGCAGCCAATGACGAATTGCACACTCGCTAGATTAGGTAGACATAATTATGTCAAGCAAGCTATGATCTCGACTATAACCCGGCATTAATATAAGCAATGAGCATGCCATCTAAATTCGGAGCTTAATTCTTACATGTTGCTATGTAGGTACGTCTGACTCGGAAGTATGGTCATCCTCTGACAGGGGATAAGATAGGGGTTAGGCGATAAGCAGTACCTAGGTAGGCAGCCATCTAAAGACTACCTCATATGCAGATTTGGCAAGGTTAGTTGGTATAGACTTCGTATACAGCTATGTTCTCAAGTGCCAACTAGGCACAGGTACATACTCCACTCATACCAACGAACCAAAATCTCTGAAAGGATCGAGTCATACTATTATAGGAATGATTTAAAAAGGTGTACCAATTAAATTGAAATGAGAAATGTACCGTGTCTGGTTTGCATTTGAGGACATGGTAATAGACTTTGCTGGTCCTGGAGACTCAATGCAAAGGCCAACCATACCTAGCTTATGTCATGCTCTCCATTATATATAGGTAATCTTCCGCGTACATCTCTAGTTAGTACTTAGAAGGACAGTAGTCAGTTATTGTCGATTGTAGATTCAAATGACACTATAGAAGCAGAGCTAATTGGAGTTTAAAGGTACAAAAGAGATGTTAACATCTCTTAATAGCCTAAGTGGTGAGATTGACAAGTTACCATACCAGGATAAAGAGACATAGCTCCGTATATTTCGGACGTAAACATCTTTGTCAACTAACTACCTAGATAATACCCTTACTCAAGTAAGCGTATAACTGTGAGTCTTACACAAGTAAGCTGTCGCGTTGATTCTGCCCTTGCTTGTGTAAGCGGAATATTAATGGACGAAGTGTTGACCGGGGATGTCTAGGTACCTAGTAGGTAGGTAGTCATCCTTTAGAATATAAGCCGATCTACCGTTTGGCCAGCGGCGCTTGAAGCCGACGTCCGATGGAGCTAGTAAGCGACTGCTTACTCCCTTAACCTAGTGGCAAATCCCATGTAAATTCAACCAATTAACTTGTTTATACATAGCTAACTCTTGAAGGACTGGGGAGACTTGGGGATATTGTAGACAGTAGCTTCGATGAAGCTTGAGAGGAGCTATTATACCGTTTATTAAGTTTCCTCAAGCCATCTATATATCCACCGAGAAGGTATTTTCATAGCCCTTTATAGGAGAACTCTTGCACAATTCATGTTTCTTGGGCGTGGTGGAAAATTGTTCTGTTATGAGGCTGCATATAGCTAGCCTCCAGTCGCATTCTACACCTTAGATCCTTTTGACGAGTACCGTATTGGGCCGAGCGAGCTCTCGCGGCTAATCAATGGGAAGTTTAATCAGGTACATTTCAGCCGCAGAGAAGTTGTTGTTGGAAGACTACCTAATCTCATGCGCACAGGAAGCTGCCTGGTGAAAGCATGGACCCCTGAAAACGGGATCGTTACCCAACTGATGATTCCATGTCCACAACTAAACTGATCCTTGAAGCCATGGGTATAGGCCGCTGATGTGATATCGCTGCTTTGAGCTGAATCACGGGATACTCGGATTTTGATGGCGCTTACCAGTTGATATTTGGCAGCATGGGAGGTAGTATCATGTTGCGCAAATGGTATTTTGGAGCTGAGGCGGTATTTGGATATATATTGGCCAAATCACCGCATCAAACCTGGGTCAACCTTGATATACCCCTATCACAAGCTTAATAGACATTCTCATGGCATTCAACATGAAGAATTCTATTTCGTCCCTTTGTAACCTTGTCCTCTTTGGGACTCTAGCAACCGGCGCCAGCATTCCCAGATATTTTCAGCCGTCGGCCTTTACTCGACGCCAGTTGGATCCTACACAGGTTCAACAAGAGCTCGGTAGTCAACTCTCAAATACCACTTCTATATTTGGGCCCGACGATGATCGCTATCCTGAGGCTACTACAAGGTGGAATACTTTTGCTGTGCCAAAAATTCAGATAGTTGTTGAGCCCGGCGAGGAGTCTGATGTCTCAACCATAGTAGGTCTTATAAGCGTCGCCACTTGAGTTCAGTTAGCTAACAGTGGAATCAGGTTAAATACTGCAATGAAAACAGTCTCGAATTCCTGGCCGTAAACCGTGCCCATGGAGCTTCTAAAGGTCTGCGTGCTTTCAATGGTATTCAGATCAATCTGAAGAACCTTAGGAACATTGACATCCAACCGGGCGGGGAATCTGCCTGGTTTGAAGGCGGTGTTTACGATGGGCCAGTCATGAACTACCTCTGGGATCAAGGTTACGTTACTACTACAGGGTCCTGCGATTGCGTAGGTATGATGGGCCCTGGTCTCGGCGGTGGCTATAACCGACACCAAGGCTTGCACGGCATGATTAGCGACAACATCCTCCAGCTTAATCTTGTTTTAGCTGACGGTTCTACCATTCGTGTCAATAAAGATAGCCATAACGATCTCCTATGGGCCATGAAGGGCGCAGGCCATAACTTCGGTATCGTTACGAGCTTCGAGATGCCCCTCTGGCCTCGGGGTCCGGACACATGGCATTATCATAACTATGTCTGGAAGGGTGACAAGCTTGAAGATATTTTTAACGCTCTAAATGTTTTCCATGGTAATGGCTCGACACCGGTTGGCATGGCTTTCAATTTCGGAAACTTTCAGATGAATACGACAATAAGTGACAAGGAACCCGTCATATTCTGGACTTTTGCCTATCGTGGATCGGCGGAAGAAGCCGAAAGCCATTTGGCTCCGTTCAACGCGATCGGTGCGGTTTACGAAGAATCTGGCGATGTACCATATCCAAGGATTTCATATGCCCAGGGCACCAATGAAGACAGCACCCTCTGCCAGGACAATATATATCGAATCCCTGCCACCACAGGTCTTGAAGTATATAATGTAACAGCTGAGCGCCTTATATTTGATGGCTTCAAACGACGCGCCGCCAGCAATCCCGCGCTTGCGGCAGGAGGCAATATCCTTCACGAAGCCTACTCGGACGAGGCCGTTTTAGCTCACGACCCCGATGACTCCGCCTTTCCATTCCGCTCTGACCATTTGCTGATGCTTTTCCAAACGATCGTCCCCGATGATGATCCAAGCCTGGCAAAGGATGTCCAAGAATGGGCGACTGAGGTTAGAGATCAATGGAACGAAGGTCAACCAGGGCGACCCATTCACGCTTATGTCAATTATGCCAACGGCTTCGAGCCCCTAGAGCAGGTATACGGCCACGAGCCATGGCGGCTAGAAAGGCTCCGTAACCTCAAAGCCAAATACGATCCTTACAATCGCTTCCGGTTTTTTAACCCAATCATCCAGGACAAGGAGGTTTAACTCTATTACCATACATGATGTCTACCTAATCTAGGGGCTTATTATGGTAGAACAGAACATGTCCCCCTTTTACGGATGTTAGATATTAGGATAGGTAGATAGAGGTATAGTAACCATCATCGAGATTCCAAAGGCCTCGGATCGTTGCTTGGAAGTCAATATCATATAGTAATAGAAACTATACATAACAATTTCGTATTCTATGGTTATTCAAGAATTATTGAGCGTGGTGTAGCGAGATTATTCTAGCACGGGGTCGTTCAATGCGCCCACATAGGAATACGAGAGCAGTATATACGTAACGGAATAGGGGCTATAGAATCCCCCGACCTAAGACATACCTCTTGGGGAGACACAGTCGGCCTGATGTATTGAAAATCTTTCAAGGCTGTTGCCTTGTCTTCGGACTGTATGTCTCTCTTGTCAAACCGTTATAATGCAAATCATTAAGACAAGTATTGAAACGGGCGGACCCCCACGAATGAATAGATCTACGGTTAGTATGACGGCAGTCTCTCATGTTTGTTTGGTTGGTTATTACGATATTGTGGCAGAGATCTGGCCTCCCTCCTTAAATATCCCAGATCCAATAGGACGGTTTGGAAAGAGAACTTGGGCAATTCCCCAAAACCCGGCTGTCCTCCTCTACCGCCCCTACCTCTCCATGCGCCACCACGGCTTTGCGCAACGGGGATCGGAAGCAGCGTGGCCGATTTAACAATAGGCCGTCGAGTAAGTCTGGTCAAATAAGATTTATGTCGGTAGTCGGATCGAGGTGCAATGCTCTGGATGCAGCCGCCCTTTCGTCTTCTCATTACTGGGGATAGTTGGTGCTACCCCTGTGTTAGATCTCGGATCAATGAGCCCACATCTATGACATAGAATTTGAGATGCATAGTAGGTAATAGATGTGGGGGGGACGTGATCAGTAGCAAGTCAGAGATGTGTAAATCTGCAGCAAGGCGAGTGATGAGATCGCCATGGTACAGAGCGCCATGCGGCGCATGCCGTTTACCGTTCCAAGGGTTTGACCCTTGCACAGATCAGACTGGTCATGAATCGCAACCGGGCAATCTATCTGTATAGAGCCTAATGTGAAGTTCCAACTTAGGTAATACCGTAAGAAGTTATGAGCTGACGACGGCACAATGAGAATGAATGGCCCCGACGCGTAAATTGTGTTGCGATTCTCCATTAAGTCTTCCACTGAATCTCTGTAAAGATACCTAATAAGCCTCACGGCATATGCTGCGGGTGGCGCAAATAAGCATCGACCATCTCCTTGGCGTGGAATACGTCCCTGTTTTAATTCTAGACCTTTCTCTCGTCATAGTGTCGTTGATCGGCAATCCGACGCCTTCTTCATGATATTTCTGTGACTGGAGACCTGATCGTCACTTGTAAGATCGGACTATGAAATAAGCTTACCATTCCCATACTCTCAACGGTCGCTTCGAGCTTGTTCAAGACACTCGAGGTCTTGCGAAGCAATCAGACAGCGCTATGTACGGACGGGCGGAGCCACGTCAACAGCCTGGCTATGCCTGTGAAGGTACGTTTTGAAGTCTCAGCCCTTGGAAGCACAAGTAGGAACTCGGCATCGCCCGTCGATTGGGAAAAGGAAAGACGACGATCCAAATTGACACTCGGACTTCTACAAAGATATATCATTTTGGACTCGATACTAACTGAATGAGCTTTAAAAAAGAATGCCGCAAGAAAAAGCTTCGATGTGACAGGCAGCGTCCGCAATGCGGTGCATGTGCCAATGCCCAGATCCAATGCGAAGTCAACGATCGCCGTATACCTCGCGGTCCGAAGAAAGGAAGCATAGGGGCACTTCGTAGTCGCATTGGTATGCCATACTCAAGATGAACTACCTAAACTGGCACCGATACTGAACATCCAGGTAGTGGCACTAGAGCGCCGTCTCTCCACGTCTCAATCCGAGGATAGCGCAACTACGAACGGCCACGAGCTTGGATTGGTAGCAGAATCGCCGACCAAAGAGGGCATTTCGACACAATTCTCCTGTATGTCCCATGAACATGCGTTTTGCTTTTTCCTATTATTCCTGTAGGATGGCATTTTATATCCGACATATCCGAGACATCTTCAACAACTGTGTCCAGCTTTAGAGCGAAAGTAGTAACCACTTTCCTTGTAGTGCCTGATTGGGACGTATCTCAACAAGACCAACCTCTGAATGGTTCGATTCCTCTGGCTTGGGGTCCGCCAGCGACTGCACCTCACTCACCGCTGCTCTTCTCTGAGCTCCCGGTCATACCCACCATGGCAACATCGTATCCGTCACCAAAGCAGAGCCCGGTCTCAATTAGTGATGTTTTCGTCCCAGACCTTACAAAAGCAGATTTGTGGGTTCCCAAGATCCCCAGGATGATTCTTTCCAAGGTAGCTTACACTGCTTGAAGAATACAGCTTTACTTTGACCGTGTTCACCCTATTGCTCCCATCTTTAACAAGTCGAAAACGTTTAGATGGATGGGCGATGGAAATGCCATCACCGAACCTCAGCAATGTCTGCAGTATGCCATGTTGACATCTGCTACAGCTTTCTCAAGCCAGTTTGGCAGTATTCAGGAATCTCTTTACGCAAGGACTCGGTTCATGCTCGATCAGCTGGATCTGAACAGCAATGATTCCCCGATATGCCACATCGAGCACTTGCAAGCGTGGATTCTAATCACATTCTACGAGTTTGCCAAGACCAACTACCGCCGTGGATGGCTCAGTGCTGGGCGAGTCTTCCGTTTGGTCCAATTCCTCAAACTCTACGAGCTGGATAGTGCCAGGCCTTTAGGGGTAGATAACGACGACGACGCAATTACGTTGGAGGAAAAAAGGCGCACATTCTGGGTAGCCTACTGCCTTGACCGGTTTATTAGTATCAGCGAAGGTACGCCTATGACGTTAAACGAAGAAGTGGTGAGCTTCCCCTACTCCCTAGACAAGAAACGATAGGATCCATCCACTATTCCTCTTGGGAGAGAAGCTTATTCCCAATATTTGCAGGTATTCACACGGCTCCCGTGTTCAGATGACGATTTCCAGAGAGGACTCGTATCACAAGAACCCTTCTTGGCAGAGACTATGACATCTGCCGACATGAGATCGTACGCGCCACTAGCAGAATGCGTGATTATCGTCACCATCTGCAGCCGAGCTCTTTCCCATAAGCAAATCTACACGATAGAAACCCTGTACAGCAACATCCCCCTTGACTTCTCTTCTCGACACGATTGGTTGGACGGCATGCTCACTCGCCGGCTCAATAATCTGCAAGTCAACTATCCCGCATTAACGGTGGCAGAAAGCCCCATGATCATTTACTCGTATATGGTTGCGTGCTCTGCCATCATATACCTGTGCCGTATCATGGAGACGTTATCAATAGCCGACCAAAACCAGTCTCTCGTGTGGGAATACCAAGATCGGGGGCTTTGGGCGGCCCAGGAAATCTCTAGGATGGCGAAAGAGCATGAATATCTTGGCTATTTCCGGGCACATACGTTTATGCCTCTGACCATCTACCTCGGTGCGATGAGGCTTCGAATGCACCTTGAGGCCCGAAAATGCGACATGGAAAAGAACGAAGCCGAGGAGGTGGAGAAATCACTCCACAGCTCCATTGAGGTGCTACAGAAGCTGCAGTCAGTCAATAACCTGTCGAGTTATTACTTGCAGCTCCTGTAGCGTCCTTCAGAAGTTCCTAGCTGGACTAGGTTATAAGGATGAGGCGCCCGCTCGGAGCACGGGTCATGCTATATCCCTCTTCCTCCCCAAATCTGGAATAATGGGCACCGTTATTTCAGTACGATTACGTTAGGATGCATTCAACAATGCCGTCCAACCCATTAGGCGTATTATAGTCTGCAATGTTAATGTTAGAAAAACGCAAATGAGACAGGGCCGTTGGGGCCTTTTACTTAATGTTCAATAAATGACAGTTTCTAGACGGGTCGCAGGGCTTAGGCGAAGTAGGTAAAACTCTTCGTACGATGAAGCAATAGAACACTACGTTTCAAACCGAATTCAAGAGAGATATGGATTCTATAGTTCAATAGAAATAGAAATCACGATACCTATATGAAGATCTATCCCAACTCGAAGAGCTAGGTACCAGGTACATATCTAGAAGCCACTTGATTCCCACCAAGATATTACGAGATACAAACGTCTTCTTGGCGGTGATGATGGAAGTATTCTGTTGATCGTTCTTACTATCTATATAAAATTCTGGATAGGCCCCTTTCTTTCAAGAGTTGGATACAGCTTAGATATTATTTACTACCTGAGGTAGGTAGATTTTGTTTACCTAGGACCAAACAGTCTGACATCTAATTACCTGATAAAATCGGTTCCGAGCCTGCAATGATGAACTTAGGTTAGGTAAGATATCAATTGCGTGTCGGTATTCAAAGTTGTTAAGATGACATTAGAAAATAGAGCTACGGTTAATAGTTCCTTCAGAATCGCAACCGTATACTTCCCCACGTAATATCCAATCATAATAGTAATGTTACATATACTCGCTAGAAGCTCTAATAGTGGCCCACGACCAACTCTCAACAGTAGGTCTCAGCAGACGGCGGTTATGTTAGCTCCCTCAAAAGCCAATCTGGGAAGAGGATTCCCATACTACGACAATCTCTGAGGCGCGCACAGTAAGCTAGCATACTGACAGACTGTACTCAGGACCTTTTGCCATCGGATACGACCTCGGAGCCTATAAACAAGTGCAAAAACTAGAACAAGCTTTGAGTGGACGGTATGAGACAGTGGCTGGCAGATCTCAAGCGGATGAAATGCCACTAAGCAAACTAGAGCATGTTCTAGTGATTCAATACATCAACATCTCCACCAAGCGTGAAGACGAGTGCTTGATGCAGTCTGCCGTGCGAATTGACACAACGTAGCATGGACTCTCGGTCATCTAGGAAGCGCGCATATTCGGTCTTTATATGTAAATCTGGCATTGAACATTCGAGATACCGACTGCAAGAGGTAACGATCCGTCTGGGCAATGCGAGATCCGACCTGAACTAATTATGGCATGAGCTAAGGATCACACAGATCCTAATTACGATGAATGGAAAGGTTGCCTGGCTTTAATTCCGAGAATTGCTCGCCAATGCCGGAAACCATCTCCTACGCATTGAGTTGGACACCTCCTGAATTGCTGGTATGTAAGGGGGTTCCAACATCAACTCAGGGGAAATACCTACGTTCCCATTGGACAGAATGGCAATAATGAATCATCGCTGGTTTCACAGGTAAGCAGCCACAATTATATTATAGCATGGAGAGTTCAAGTTATACAAGATGGTGAACTACCTCTTTTGGTAGCTCAAGCACGTGGCAACTCGCCGATGATTCCAAAAAGGGCCATGTGCTTGGACCAATAAGTCAAGTCAGCTCATGGATCGAAATTTCTTTCACCCGAACTTAAAAGGGCATCTATCTGCCAACCAGGAAATAATGGGCTGGTGATATCCTATATCACCGAAGGCCATCTTTCCTTTAGGTAGGCAATTCGGGTAGAATTCATTTCTGAATAGTTCCATGCAGCCTTTTGGCGCCCTAAATGCTACGGTGGCAGGCGCTTCTGTATGCCTTCGTCCCAAACCACTTCCAATTCCATCCGGCTATTTCCGTACTGCTTCTACGGAAGCGGAAAGCGGCTCATTCTCTGCGTAACCATATTCCGGAAGATTTACGTACTAGTCAAGTCGATCCAGCATGTACCCGTCTCGGCGTTGCACAAGACAAAAAGCGTGGGCGTTATGCAATTTATTTCGGTGGCGGCCTATGAGCGTCGTAGATGTCAGCGCTTGATGGGGGCTCCCGTCTCGGCTCGTGCCGAACGTGGCTGGAAGCCTTGTTGATATTAGGCCCAGAACTGCTTTTTAACTTTCAATAGAGGGTTTTAGCCACATCGATGATCATAGCGTAGCTTATATTGCATTGACGATCGGCCCGTTCCACCACCATCTGAGTTTGCTAGGTCCAAACTGCTGAGCGGGGAGACGCCCTTCACTGTCTATGAGTTCACGGGCACCGTCTATTAGATTCGGATATGTGCCCTGAACAAGTTTCTGGCCTAAGCCAGAATGGTACTAACTATCATCGAAATTCAGTTACCACAATATGGTTAGACGACCGGTGGTGAGTATCTAATGTACTCATAAGGAGGCTCGGTGGATAAAGCATGGATACCGCTACAGTGGTGGGAACCATAGGATGCCTACCCCAGATCAAGTTACGATAGGTAGACAATCACAGGTTACCGATCTCCGCTAACAAGGTATACGATCACTCATGTAACCATGCCGCCCTATGTAAGTGCTACCTAAGTGGATGGCATAACAAACTGGAACTCTATCGAGCGATTTGGAGAACTTGCCGCTTACGATGGATAAGCAGCCTTATATGGACATTTAAACTTATTACGTATCATCGAGATTCAACGTCCTATGAAATTTGTTGTGATAATAACAACACAACTCCTCCAACCATACTACCAAACGGCTGCCAACCACGAAATCGAACAGCCCCCTAACCTACAGCTCCACAATATCGAACGGCCGTAAGTTACAGGTCCCTATAACTTATAGTATTTTCTCGTAACTATTGTAATGGCTAGAAAAATGGCTTTCAGAACGAGGTACGCAATACAGGTATTTTCGAAAAAGCTGAAAAAAGGAAAGTTTTCTAACCTATACTCTCTAAAGATATAACTAATAAAACATTTCTTTAACAACAATACGCCCAATAACAACGTTTGAAATACTACTAGGTACGTGCTAACAAGTTTCCTAAATTAAATACGTCAGCTTGATACAATATCCTGAATAGGTTCGAGCATTTACATCTATTTTATCATTATCAAGCATCACTTTCCTAAATGGACTCGTATGCCAAAACTTCCTTTTCCCTACTAAATCGCGGGTATCTACCTGTTAACGGAAAATCAGAATAAATCCGACTTTGCTTCTAGCAACTTCAACCATGGACAAGATCGAGATTCTACCTAAAATAAGGATGAAGAACGAGGAAGATCTTAATAAACTAGCCGATGCAGTCTCCAACTTGAGTCCGACCTCGCACACTTCGTCCACAATATATCCTCCTTATCTTCGGAGAAAACGGAGCCTCTAACCAAACACCTCCATGCCACTCGACGAGCTTTTGCTTCTCTTCACAATGCCAAGCTGGTTGAACGGATAAAAGACAATCCTGACCGTACCAATAACAAAAAGATAAATCTTGCGTTGAACAGATTAAAGGCCGGGACTTGGCTGCCCAGTGGCCAGGGGGGTGAGAATTGGTGATATATCTCCAGGCGGTACATTCAAGATTAGCTTCGACGCCGTCTACTGAACTAACCTATAAATCTATTAGCATTTAATGGTAGAAATATAAATGAAAAATAAAATTAAGTTAAGCTAGGTCAAGCAATGCCTTCATCTTGTGAATATACGAATCAGCGTTAATATGAGATGTACTATCACGTGATGCTCCGATGCGAGGCCTTTAGATGTTGAACGTTTGTTGACAAAGCGAATATTTATGTCACTCGATAAGCGCTTCCTACGATTCTGTTTGAACCATTATATACTCGAGATGTGCACAATGCAATTGAGTCAAAACCTGTATATAACTCATAGGAAGTTACTCGTAAGCTGTGCTTAGAAAGGACGCGGTATATTTCCACAATGTCCACCTATAGATTTCGCGCTTAACTATACGCAAGTGATACTTTCTAAGTAAGCGTACGATACTTACCTACCTACCTAGGTAGGTATATATGAATGATATAATTACCACTATCAATTAGCTTGTAATTGTGGATAGCTATATCCAGTACACACACCGTTTTCCTTGCCTATGTAATTTAATGCAGCAAGATATAGTATATGGAATTTTAGCTATATTATATCAACTTGGTTTGCCAAGTGGTAAAGCTGTGAGCTTTACCAAAACTGAACTCCTTGAATCTCTTATACTTAAATCGGGAAAATAAGGGGTTCTCACATCACACGCTAAGACACCTCGTACAATTTCTAGAATTAGTCCCTTGTTTTCACATCTAGGCCTCGCTAGAAAATCAAGTAACAGGTGTTGACTGCTTTATTGATAGGTAGTGACCTTGTAGACTTAGGCTGGTACCTAGAACACTTGAGCCGAGCAATGGGTTTGATGCTAAATCACATAGTCTATCTGGCGTATCATGGAATGAGTTAAATACCTGGTTGAATGCGAACTTGATTACCCTGTATTCTATACTGGATTAATATCGCTGGCTTTGGTAGTTTTGGTGAATCAATTAGTTTAAAGTACGACTATACTATTTATTATATATGTCCGATTGATATCCTCGCAAAACCCCGATTTCGACACTTCTACATCGCTAATCTCGATTTGCCTAATAAGCTTTTCAAAACGACAGGAAATAGCCCAGGTATCAATCTTGACCCTTTCACAACATGGAGGAAATTCAAGAGTTCTTATATGTCGAGGTCACAGATGCTGAGTCCCTCGACGAACTAGTGTCGAGAAATATCCTGCTACGAGTCCAGTCTCGAATACCGTGGCAACGGAGGACGCCTGACGGCTGCAGAAAAAGAGCGATTTAAGAAGGCCTATCAGGAAATCGTAAAGTCATATGCTGGATTAAAAAATGCCAAAGACCAATTCCAAAGCGACGGCGACACCATTTCAATCCTGAAGATTATCACAGCAAAGAAGAAGTTGGATGACTTGGAGGAGAAATGGCGAGAAGTTCAGAAACTTTACACCTAATCATTTGTAAACACCGCTGGATAAGAAACAGAAAGATTGGTAAATTAGGAGGAGCAATTTTCGATCTGTACGAATCCGTTAGGTTGGGAAACCTAAGCTTCATAGCCCGATCGACCAGATTTATTATCATGTCACATAGTTAGATCTATCGTTAATACATCAGGTTCAACGGATGCACTGACCTCATTCTCGGAATCAGATTTGTGGTAGGTATATGAGAGGTAGGTACTTAACCTAATGTGCATGACTTAAATAAACTTGGGTTCTTTACATGCAGGAGGTACATATGTGCTCTGACTTATGGCATACACGTCCTCGCCAAGTGTTCCATTACTGTACCTGACAGTAGCTCCATGAGCTCCTCAGTTCAGAAGTCATGAATCCAGCATTGTAGTTTAGTGTATATTTAAAGGCGTTTTCTCTAGAAATTCCTTCACCTTTCAGAACCCCTTTTCGTGAACCGAACCATTTACTCCCGCCAAAAAATCTTACTTGACTACCGACAAAACATAGCTGCTTCTTTTATCTATCGTGGATACCTACCAAATTAGACTATCAAGACAAGTCCAACTTTAGGTTGAACCGCTTTCACTATGGATAAAGTCCCGGACTTATCCAGCGCTACCATCAGGACTATCAATGATCTCGATTGGCAAGTCGAGGTGATCTCGGTACATCATACTAACCTGAAAGCATACTGGCGCAATCGGAGCGTGTTGACCCCCGAAGAAGAAAGGGCTCTTGCCAAACATGTCGAGGCCAGTGCACGAGCATATGATGTTCTTTCGAACGCTAAGGAACGGGAGCAGAGCGAGCCGAGCGAAGAGAAGGATAGGCAACCTTACCTTACCAATATGAGAAAGATAAAAAAAGGCATGGAGATCATAGTCTGTATTGACGACATTTTGGCTGATATTAAGGAGTGGAATAACAGCGAGAAAGCTAAACGCCGCAAGACTGAAAGATTGACAACTCTTTATCTAGCCGGAAACATCTCTCTTCATATATGTCAAGCATTTAACAGTTGGGAAGTCAGGGAGCAATGTCGTCAAATTGATATATTTTAGATGGAATTAGGGGTGACGACGCCCGAATAGGGGAAGCAATTGAATAGTTATAACCAACAATAAATATATTTTTAATGTCACACGTTTTTTACATGATTTTCATTAGATACCCTAAAAAGCTCTATTTCCCAAGTAACTCGTTGAAGTACCTATCACTCTTTATCTTTCTATTCTTTAACGTAATGCGCGGCGCACAGAACGCGGAAGAAAGTCATAGCCTGTACCAGTAGCACAATGTCACGCTCTGGTTCGATGTTGAGGAGATCACAACAAAGCTATTCATTCAATTTGTAACGCACTTTTTGTCTGGACGGGCCGTGACATTCATGTTTTAACTTTTCATTGTATTCGCGTTCCCATAATGCATTATCCATCTTTTGTTATAAATTGCAATCCTACCGCCCATTCTGTTAGGAGGTACCTATCCATCAACGTCAACACCAAAGCTTTCCAGACAACAACAATACCGATACTTGCACGCTGCCACGCTTTTTGAAAAAAAAAAAATCACCAGCCAGCTGTAGAAAAATAATCTTTACTACTTGCCCACCATGTCGTCTCGAGTTTCCATCCCATATTTCGAGATCGAAAACAATCGGGACATCGACAAAGCCCTGCGGCAGATCGAGGTCGTCGTGCGCAGCGTTTCGCAGCGCACCGTCGAGAGCATCCAGGACGCCGAGGACCTGGAGGAGCTGGAGGCCGACATCCGCGACGCCAAATGCACATCCGACCACTTGTTAGATGTGGAGGGATACTTCAAGGACGATCCCGTCGCGATGGGAAAAATCAACACGGCGCTCAGCAAGCTAGGGCATATCCGAAGAACTCTACAGAGACTACACGACCAGGCCACGCAGTCGAAGAAGTCCAAGAACAAGCGTAGATGAGCAGAGCACGATGTGATCATTCGCATTGGTTTAGGTACCTGGTATGGGGAAGAGAGGCTGTCTCTAGGAAATCCATATAAGTGGTAGGGTAGGGCCTTAGGTGATAAGGGACATACGGCGGCCCCCCTTTTCCGGAACAGGAAATATTTTCCTGAATTACCGTATCTTAATAAAAAAAAACATCCCAAAGGCATTGCAAAATCTTATTCCCAAGATATTGGACCGAGTGACATAGTATTTTTCTATCTTAGCAGAAATGTGTGATGCGGATATTCTGTTTCGCAAGATTTATTAAATTGAGTAATTTGACCTAAGGTAATACCTGTGATCACTACAGGCACCTAACGTACCATAAGTGCCTGTGAAGTATACTTCATCTGGGGTATGTACCTAGAGGTAATTATAAGGACTTTGTGATAGTGGTTGGCTTAGTGATGGGGCAACTCGATGCGGAACGGGTTCGGGGTTGAATTTGCTTTGTCATAGATATTCCGGTCTCTAAAGGATTGTAATATCAAGGAAGAGAATCATAGCTTAAAAGTTTCGTAAGTATCTGGTCTTTCCGCGTCTAGGTACCTCTATCTCAGTTGGTCGGAAGAGTCATCTACCTTAATCTCAATTACACCTAGGAAAAACACTTCTTACAACCGGGAAGTGAATTGGTGTGTAGTTACGACTGACTTTAAACTGACTATTAATCCCAGTAATGAGACTTCATACAATTGGTTAATTGGTTAATTATAAGCAATAGTTAATGAATAAGTAGCCAATCACGTTGTGACCAAAGCCAACCTATTCCTACGTCATTGGCGCCGACGTCGAAAGAGTTCTCGACTCGATACCCAACGCCAACACCACCATGACGACCAAAGGTTTATGAATGGTGCGGAGCATCAGATAATCACGCATGTTCCATGCCACGTAAGTGACAGCAAGCCGAACACCATGATCCATTCTCTCCCGCGTCCTGCCAATAGGGACGCTTTTAACGACCGCCGCTGCACATGAGACCCAGCGGAAATAGCGCCATCCTATTCGTCCCTCGGCATCGTAAGAACCATTGCTGAGTTCGTCGCGGAGGAACACCTTATACATTAGGTACCTAGATATCTCAAGCTTTATTATACACACATGGTGCCGAGAACAACGAAAAAATCAGAGTTGCTCAACCCACTGCCGCCATGGAAGACCGCCGCAGTAGTGATACTGACTCGGGCAGCACTCTATCCTTCTACAGCATCCCCACGCAGAGTCCGCAGCCTACGGCTCGGCCGCTGATATGGATGCGGCGCAGAGATACGGATTTTGGGAGCGATTGCTTCTCTAAGCGAGAATCCGTCGTTATCCGTGACAGCATTGCGTACCCCTCCGAATCCAGCTTCGAAGACACGATCATCAAGGGCACGGCGGAGACGGTGCAGCGGAACCCTAGTAAGCCGCGGCTAATCGACCTAGACTACATACGGCGAAAGATGCGCAGCGCAACGGGGCGGCGCGGGTCGCAATGGAGTGACACTACAGACACATCCGTATCATCGTTTAGCGGGTGGTTTTCAGAGATACGTCCGCCGGAGCCGATTTTGCTCAGTCCGATAACGAGTCAGCGGGCCGTGACGGAGATGTACCACGAGAGCCAGAGTGATATCGAGATCCATTCTAGAGCTCGAGCCTCTTCCCTGCAGGGACCGGAAACACCGCTCCCACCCCAAAGTGGAGAACAAGGCGAGCAAACCGGCGAGACGGTTAGAAACTCTTCCCATGAGAGCGAGTTATCGGCCTACTCCGCAACACAAAATCTTCGCCAGCAAAAGCGTAGCTGCATGCGCTCGCTCTTGTGCGCGTTGTATTGATTTAGGACATGGGAGGGGGTCGACAAAGATTGGTAACGTCGAGAACTGGTAATGCTCTGGAGTATAAAATAGGCATCTGGGGCACATCGAAGTTAATGGGAAGAGCGGGCGTTTATTGGATACTTGGTTTTTGAAAAGGTTATTGGGAAGGCTGTGAATGGTGCGGCTGTATCTAGTAGTCCCGGGGGTATATCCAGGGTCCAACGGGGTTATTATTATATGGCGTTGATGTAATGATTCTGACAGGCTTGACACTAACTGGTGGGAGCCAAATGGAAAGAATGTCAAAAGCATTATTTAGAACCCTTTCCCTTCTCATATTATCTATTTTCCGATGTCGTGTTCCCCTGCTGTCGCCTTTTAAACCAGTTGACGATATATTGAATGTCTATGTCGTGTTGTTCTGCCGGCACATACATCCACCTATTATTTTCTGCACTCCAGCCTCTGTTTGGAAGGTAAGCTTCTAGCATGTAATAGTTGTCCCTATGGAAAGGGAAGTCAAAGCTTGGCGGTCCGCTCGTCTCCAAGAATAGGTCTGAACCTGATTCCATGTCCTCTTTCGACATGCGAAAACGTCGCCTCTTGTTACCCTTGTTTGCAGCATGTCGGCCTATAGACCTGGTTGTCGAGTCTAGGTGAGCTTCAAAAAGCCGCGCATGCCATAATGGACTGCGTAGGGCTTTGCGTACGATGCCTGCATTTGTCGCTATTAGATCTTGGTTCCATGCCGGATGCTTACCCCGCGGGATCATGGGAATTGGTTCCCCGATATCCAGATTTCGCTGCCAGTGAGCGAAGTCGACAATCAAACAGAGTGCTGACCATCGCAATAAGCATGATAGACAAGTGCAGATTTCCGCAGGATTCGGAGGTTGGATGTGTTGATAAGGTATCTTATGGATGACAAGAAGTTCCTGTCGCTCAGGATTTTGAATCATGTGGTGAATGGTGGGATCAATATGCTCCATGAGGACGGGCAACCTGAAGCATTTCTCCAGACAGACGTAGCGCCAGCTGGTAATGGCCCTTGAGATCCGGTACTCCTCCTGAACGATAAATTGGTAGAAAGCACGGTTGACTCGCTGTAAATTGAAAACATCGCTTGGACGAAGTAGGGCTAATATATCCAACACGAGTTCGTAAGGAAGGCTCAAGAGATGTCGGGAATCGCGACTTATTTTCTTGATCTTCTTTGCCTGTTTTTTCCGAGCCCTCTCCGTACGTTTAGAGCGAAGAGTGAGAGCTTCGGTTTTATCCTCCAGCTCTCCCAATTCTTCATCTTCCGACACGTCAAACTTCCGCATTATGTTAGATAAATTCGTACCTAAGTTGGCGTCAATGTGGCTGAAGACCCTTTTTGTCCCCTTTGCCCTGGTAATGATCACGGGATTGAACGTCTCTATAGGATAATTGACTTGATCTTCGGAGTTAGGATGAATGAAACAATCAACCTAATCTTTAGGTACCTACATGTAGTACTTTAGGCATTGCCACGAGCACCTACGCTACTCGTAAGCTGCATATTTGCTAATATCATAAACTTGATAGTCTCTTAACCATAATTAGTATAAGGATTCCACTGGAGTTTCGAAGAGCTTCGGACGCGGGTAAGATTTCTAGTGAAATAAGCACTTCTCAAAAACAACCCAAATTAAGAGGTCAATTAAACTCAATAAAAAAAGCCTTGCAGCTAGAATATCCGCATCATGGGCATCTTCCACGTTGTCTTATTCAAATTTAAAGCCCTCGTCACCCCGGAGGAAATCAAGGCGGTAAGACATCTACATGGCAGAGGAGATACGACTTTATATGATTTGGATACTAATAACTTGTTCGATGCTGTATTTAGGCCTGCGTTCGGATGCTGGCTCTGGGATCAAACTGCATTCATCCCACGTCGAAGAAGCCATACGTAAAAGTACATGGCGGTGGGAGAGATAACAGTCCCGAAGGAAAACAGGTATCTAAATGGCCTCCTCATTTATTTCATTTCTCTCGTATTGTATAAGGGCCTCCCTTTCCCTTTGGCTGACCGTCTTTGATGCTAAATAGCTAGGAATGACGCACATCTTCATCTTCGAATTCGACTCGGAGGAAGACAGGGAGTATTATCTGTACAAGGACCCCGCTCACGCGGAGTTTGTTACGAGTATCAAAGATCTAGTCGAAGAAATCCAATCTCTCGATTTTATCCCTGGAGAATTTTAAATTCTTTAAGCCTTAAGATATAGCATTGAAGCTTTGTGAGTGATGAGGCTTGGAGGGATTTTGGGGGGCTTGTGAAAGCCAAGGGTGGTGAGGGGAGTGGAGGGGACGGGGACGGGGAGATGGGGGTGGTGGAGAATGAACAAGTGGAGGGAGCAAACAGAATGACGTCGACTTTGATTGGTATCTTTGCAAAAAAGTGGAAATATGTCTGCTTTAGAAAGCCAATGAAGATTAATTGCAGCCCTACGTCATCCCCCACCTTACCAGCTTTGCTTAGCTTGCAAGGCTAGCACTATTAGCTACCTCCTTAGGTGTACTACCTCACTGTGTAATACATAGTCCGGAGGCCTTGGGGTCCCTGGGGGCCCTGGGGTTGTAGGCAATTGAACAATTGAACCCCGCAGCAGCGACAGCAGTAGCACAGCAGGTACCAAGGGGTGGGTGCAACTGATCTTCGCCATATCAAGAGTTGTACATAATTTACCTCCTTATGTGATCCAATTTATTTCTCTTCTATTACAAACAAAGAACTGCCCACCATCATCCTCCCCCCCATTGATACATGTTGTAATTCAACAATTCGAATACAAGGAGTAACCTATCTTCATTTACAGACGCTGTTAATTAAAAACGCAAAAACGGGTTTCTCCACTCTACTTTTCCATCTTCTTAAACAACAAGCCATCATCAGCCCATAATTTTTTTATTTTTTTTCCAAATCGTCACCTGCTAAATCTCTACTTTACTTGGTGACAAGACCCGCGCGCATTATCATTTCGCGAACCTTGACATCGTATCCGTTGCCATTGACATCTTACAGCTTAACCTCTACTTAAGAAACTACCCAACAGGTAGTTACTAGATAAGCAAACATGTCGCAACAACAGACTGCTCCGATGCTCATCAACATCCCTCCCCCACCATCCAATCCGGAGACTCCAAGCGATATGCCGTATGTTCATTGACGCCAATCCCTCTATACGACAATCACATTACTAACCAGATACATCTCTAGTGGTACTCCTACCAGCACGACCACTTCTCTATCTACCCTTTCTACCACCGCCATCAAGGATGGCCATCGAGGTCATGCCTATCACGGCATCGGAGGACCCCGAGGCCACCAGCACCAATCGTCCACAAACAGTCTCGAAGCTGAGCGCGCAGATCGCATCAGCCGTCTCGCCGGCCTCGAGCGCGTATCTACCCTCCGCGCCCCGAATCAGAGCCAGCAAGGCGGTTCCCCGAACCTAGCCCAGACGACCTCGACAACCGCCGCCCAGCAGCAGCAGGCCGCCGCCCTCACGCCCGCGTACTTCGACTCGAACGGCCAGCCGACGGCCATCACCAAAGTGAGCACGGTGGGCACTGCCTCCGCGACGGGTAGTGTCGGGGCGCGGACGACCACGGAGGCAGGTGACCGGTTCGGCGAGGACGATGACGATGACGACATGGACGCCGAGCTGACCGAGGTCGACGAAGATGGCATCAGCATCAGCATGGACACCAATTACCGCGCCATGGACGTGGACAGCACGTCCGGCGCCATCGACCCCATGGACGAGGACATCGCGAGCCGCTCGATCGGCGGTTTCGAGGACCGCATGAGCGACGACGGAACCGCTAGCCTCGTAGGCTTCGGCGAGGGCGCGAACAGCACCGTCAGCGGCCCCATCTACCACCGAAGGCCGCTGCCTGGCGCGGCGGGCATCTGGGGTCTGGAACGCAGCAGCTCGGGCTTGAGCCAGGAGGCTATTACGGCCCGGAGTCGAGAGATACGCGATGTGGCCGCGAGCGATACCCCCGTCAGCGCGACGGTCGCGGCGGAGACGCGTCAAGCGAAATACGTAGACGGCGTAGCGGTAGACGGTGGCGGACACGTAGGCACTTCGGATGATGACGTGTTCGTCGACACTACCACGCGCGGACCCATACCCGTTCAGCCGGGCCAGCCGCGGACGAGCGCTCTTCGAGAAGGCGTTGGCGGCCCCGCGTCACGGGAAGCCGCAGAGCGCATCGTGCGTGAGCGTCTCGACGGCGGCGAAGGCGGGCGCGCGCCTATCCTAGGAAGCTCGAAGGACGGGGATAAGTTAGGGAAGTTCTACTTTGAGGAGAAGAAGTAGGATTTGACTACGTAATGTCGACTGCGGACCGAAATTTGTTACCTGCCTCCTAGGTATCTTATCTATCACAGGGGGTGGCCTTCCTGATTAGTTTGGTTGTTTTGTTTTATCTTGTTTAATTTGTGTATGATTTGTTATCACTCACCAATTAGGTATGTTATGGTTATGGAGTTATATCGGCGCACTAAAGGCGAAAACTACTAAATCGACCTCGATATTGGAACGGTGGATGGACGGTAGAGGGGCGGGTTCAACTTCAACCAATTTGTCTCTTGCTGGCCTGATAGATAATAATGGTTAGGCATCACAGAAGAGACATACCTTAGGTATACACCGTAGGTGGTGTAGGGAGTAGACTAAGGGGAAACGGTGGATGGATAAACTCTCTTGATTAGGGCCAAGTCCCATAATGCTGTATCTTATTTGAGTGCTTAACCGCATGGCACATGGTCACATCCTCAATGCAAGTTTACTTTCGATATGATACGAGGTTCATTATCTATACTTGCCTTGGTAACGTGTACACGATACCGCCTTGACGACCAATAGTTTAGGATCGCATTCAGTTCCATTACAGGTACACTTCGTCTAGATAGAAGCTATTGCAGCTATGTATTACATTGATGCATGACGAAAAGAAATATAAACAGACAAACAATACAATGATATACTCAGTCCTTGGGCATTATACAAGCGTAATATCAACAATCTTCGCTAAATCTATAGCAATCTGTCTTTCCCCCTGGTCATCCACAGCATGAAAATCCTCTCCGTCCATCGCCCCGTGCAAATAGCAGTCGCCGACGAACTCATACGTCGAAGAGTCTTCTTCGACAGGCCCGGAAGAACTACTAGTTCCTTCTCCAGCCTCTTCTTCCCCTTTAGGCCGTAAGATATATGGGAAGAACCCCCCGATAGCAGCGACAATGATATCGCCTTCCCGCACGCCGATATCCGTTCGCCGCTGTTCTCCCGCACTTCCGCCGCTTTGGCCCGGCATCTCGCCCCGGATGGCCTGCGCTAGTATCGGCGCCGCTTCCGGCGACCGCTGACCGACGTACTGCTGGAACTGCTGCAGCATCATGTTCCCGAGCGGATCGCCCATCAACCGTCCCAACCCCGCCGCCACATCATCCCCAGCCCCATCCCCGCTCCCCCCTTCCACCTTCGGCTCCTTGCCCAGCAATTCCGGGTCGGCGGCTACCACGTCCTCCACGGCCGTCATCCCGAACCTGCCCCCCGCCGTGCGAAAGAACCGCCTGCCGCGCGCGTGGCTCGCGAGCAGGTCCTCGAACGGCTTCGCCCTACCGCAGCGCGCCACGAGCGCCCGGAGCTCCGCCGAGCTCTGTATGCGCTGCGCGTTCTCGGGCGTGCGCAGGGTCGCCAGGGTGCAGCCCAGCGCCTGCAGCAGGCTCTCCTCCGCGACCAGGCTGTCGAAGTGCGCGCCAAGCGCGGCCGGCGGCGCCACCGTGTCCCGCATCGTGGCGCCCATCCGGCCGCTGCCGTTGAGCAGGAGCGCGCGCCAGAACCGCTCGGTCCTCTGCGCCGGGGTCTCGCCGGCATGCGCGGGCAGCGGGTCCGCCAACAGCTTCGCGAACTCGGCGAAGCACAGCCGTCGGAAGTTGCCGGCGTTGAAGACGGAGGACACGTGCGCGACGCGGTCGAGCGGGCGCACCTGTAGGCGCACGGCGTTGTCGGCGGCCGACACGGAGATGGGCTTCTTCCAGCGGTCGGGAACGGCTTCCCACCACAGCCGCATGCCGGAGTCCGGGTTGAAGAAGGCGCTGCTCTTGCACGAGGGCGGCGGGGCGCTGAAGTCCGGGACCCAGCTCGGCAGGCCGCGGAGGCGTTTCGTGCGCGGCGGACGCTCGCTGTACCACAGCATCAGGTCCTGGCGCTCGAGGATGGAGTAGCGCGCGACTTCGGTGAACAGCTGCTGCGCGGTCTTGGAATAGTCGATCTTCGGCAGGGGCTGCGCGCCGGCCTTGTGGTATTGGGTGCGCGCGGACGGCGTCGCGACGTGGATCATCGCGAACACGGCGTCTCTCGGGTCCTTGGGCTCGCAGTTGCGCGCGGTCTGGATCATGGGCAGCAGCTCGATAGCCTCGCCCAGGCGCTTCCTCCGCACGGCGATTTCGATCTCATTGGCGATCTGCAAGCCCTTCAGCACGCGGGGGTAGAGGGGGACCTGGAAGAACTTGACTTGGTAGTAGGGCATGGCGCGCGTGGCGGCGATGTAGGCGTCCCAGGGGATGTTGCTCCGGCCACACACGACGACAGGGGCCTTCGCCAGCACGATGTCGGCGATGCCTTGTACCGAGCACCAGTACTGGGACCCGAAGATGCTGTAAATGTAATCCCAGTGGCGGAAATTAAAAGAATCCAGATCGTTATAGGGGCAATTGAAAAGAATATCCCGGATTCCGGTCATCTGCTGCGATGTTGCCTGCGACAGCCTCATATCCGTGCGGATTCCGACCTGCCAACAAGCATCCCAGAAGCGGCGCGACATCTCGTGAATGGTTTCAAACGCCTTAGTCGTCGATTCCCCGTCGCCCGGTCCCAGCCAGCATAGCGTTCGCTCCGCATTGCCTAATACGTAGCGCTGCACGTCAGCTTGGGCGCTGCGCTCCTCAACGGTGCGGCCCACTAGGACATCGGCCCATACCGTGCGCTGCCTCTCTTTGCGTCGGAACATGCGCAGCGCGCTCTCGAGTTGGTGAGGAATCTCCTGTTCCTGGCCATCGATTGAGACGGTCAATTTGCTATTTGCGGGAGGCGGTGGCGGGGCATCCCTTATGGGCACGGGCTCAACGCCGGAACGATCGTATGAAATACATTCATACGATGTATCCTTCAGAGCGGCCTCTATAAGAGTGACGTCAATTGGGTCATCCCATTCGGCAGCTGGCTGGATGACAGCAAGCTTAGCAGTTATATCGCGAGGATCTAACAACGCCGCGAAAGGGTTACTGGTAGACATGAAGCGAGATGATCGAGTAAGTCGTAATCTGTAAAGAGACAAACCCCTTCCATAAAGACAGGAAACTCTGGATAACATATATCCAGAGTTATACGGAAGCATTTTAGGTAGACACGGTTGCCTGCCTAGGTACCAATTAACCTAGTTCATTTCTAGGAGAAGTGGGTTGTTGACAAAATTCACATGAGTGTCCTGCCTAAAAATGCCGACTTTAGGAGGGATGTTGTCTCTTTAAATAGGACATAACAAGGACAGGGACCCAGAATAGACCTGGAGCCTAGACCAAATAGACCAACCCCGGTATAAATTAGGTGGTAGGAGGTATCTATAGGTAAATATTTCTCTAGATCAATTCCATTGTTCTAGGTAAAATCGGTATAAGCCATGCTAATGAACTATTGGAGGTAGATATTCAATGCATTGAATTTCGGAGGCAAGGTAATATTAAGATATCGTATGTTATTTAAAAATTCATATGAAAATCCTGTAAGATCAAACAGAAGGATTCTGCTGATTCCCCCATCCGTGGGTTCGCCAAGTCGTTTGCGACTCTAAACATAACATTATCGCATTTCAGTCTAGCAAAACGCGAGAAAGAAAGATTTAACAACTCAAGCCGACGGATACGAAACCCAAAGACATATAGAAATTATGTACGAGTCTCTAATTCTCGTACTTTGCCATAATTAAACAATTGCTATTAATGTACCATTCAAATAGAGGTAGGAGGTAGGTACCACTTAAGCGTGGATAGCTATTTGAACCTGGGGATAAACTTGGACCATCGACTGATATAGCTCAGGGTGGTTCTGCATCAGCACCTGTGGTTCCCACGCGGTTGCCACGAATATCGTGTCAATGCCGCTGCTGATCGGCGTAGTGAAGATGTTACAAATCTGCAGACCGATGAGGAATGCGAAAGCTATAACAACTAATTTTATATCAAGTTAGCGTACATTCAAAAACGGCGCCTTATAGATCGGTAGAACTTGTGCATAGTAACCAAGTATTTATGCGACTTACCAGGTGTATATGAACCGTCCGTGTTGTATGAAGGACGCGTGAATACCTGATAATGTGTGAGTAGGTCCTGTATGATGGGTCGAAGAGAGACACTTACAAGATACAGATAAGCTAGCAAGCTCGTCGCGTAGCCTACAAACGTCGCGCCCATCGATAGGACCGGCCCGATGAGGCATTCGTTGATAAGAGCGTCAATGCCGCGTTGCTTGATCATGTTCCAAGTATCCTTGGCAGCGGCAAAGTAGGGCTTTCCATACAGGGCAATGTAGGAAAAGGCATAGCGATTGAGGAACTGGACCGCCCAATCGAGGATCCCGATGATGCACCCAAGAATCCAAAACATAATGGTCCCAAGTATATTACCCTGCGCGGCCTCACTCTGTCGAGCAACGGAACACAGCTGTCTCAGGAAGTTAATGATAGCAACGAGTAAGGAACCCAAGGATATGGAGCCGAAGCTATATGTAAGTGCACGCCTAAGACTGCCTCGGGTTGCGCCTTGGGGCAGATTATACGGGTGGAAGTACCAAGAGCCGTAAACTCCTGAGATAGCGGTGTGAATAGTGTTTTTCAACCATTCCGAAATCCAGTACATCGCAAACGTAATAAACACAAGTAGACCGGTGACTTTAGCACTGCTGCAGCCCCCGGCTCCCTCTGCGCACGCTGGATTTTGGCCCGGTGAGAATTTGGCATACACGGCGACAAAAGTGACGGAGTACCACGCAGCAAGAGCAGTCGCGCAAAGACCACCCAATGCGCTAACTAAATAAACATGCCCATAACTCTTAGAGACGTCAACAGCCGTCTTGAGCATAAGAGCGCTAAATGGGATGCGCGGAATCCACGTCTATAAACAATGGTGAGTAGAATTCAGCTAAGAGCGGAGGAGATGCAGGTAACTTACGAAAAAGGCGAAGATGAGAAAAGCAACGAAAATCAGATACACAATGCCGCCGGAGTAATAGTGCCGGGAAAGCATGTATATCGCGGTGACAAGACCGAAGACTATGTTAAGGATACCACTGCATCACTTGTGTTAGCACCATGCCCCTATTCACAGCTTCAGGAGTCGATGCTTACGTTATCCAGATGAACTGCTTGGGAAATTGGCGAGCCAATAATACGTAGAGGTAGCTAAAAACGGTAGCAACACAAAGGCAGAAGATGAAGAGAACAAGAGTATTCGTATTAAGACCAACCCTCGACCCGGAGTCATAAATGCCATCTCCTTGGAAGTTTTTTGTGGAAGCTATAGTTTAGGTGGTCTTGTTAGTGCCTATGGAGAGAATGCAACAGGTGGTTCGCATATGGTATTGGTATTCACTGACCATAGCCGTTGATTGAGATGCCAGAGACTGCTACATAACCCGCGACAACAATAAGGAACTATGCGTAAATCGTTAGAAGTTGGTTTAAATTTTCAAGGAAAATACTCGGTACATACGAGAATGCCAGCCCAGATATCGTTGTACTTAGGGCGCTCAAGCTTGAAGGCTTGATCGAACATAGGCTTCTCATTACCGTAGCCACCACCCGCAGGAATCGGACCCGGGGCTGGGGGTCCCGGCTGAGCATATTGAGTCTGCTGGTACTGATTGGGAGGTTGTTGCGGATTGTAATAATTGCTTGCCATCGTAGGACGTGACAGCTAATACGTCACTTTGGTAACCAATATCTTATTACAATGCGGTGGTACTCAAATCAACCTGTCAAGAAGAAAAAAAGATTCTCATATAATCCTGTCTGTAGGGGTAAAGCTGTTGTCGATGTATGTGATGTATGTCGGAGCAAAAGTTAGAAGGCCAAAGAAATACAGTGGCAGGAACAAGAATGCCGGATATCCAGCAAAGGCAAGATTGACATCATACGCGTGCATTAAGTTAGCACAAAGCTTGTGAAAGCTCGTTTCATGTTAGCTTTTTTAAACTTTAAAGTGTGACTACGCTTTTCCGCTTTTCATTAAAATTAATTTTGATCAATTATTCATTGGTATGTACCGTTTTGAGTCAATGGCGTCATTACCTAAATTAGCATCTCAGTAGGTCTATAGAATTCAATTGTACTAGATGTACTTCGTAGAACTACGAAACAAGCGCAACGCGGTTTAGCATTGTTACCTGATATCTGATAACATGCCGGTAGCCGAAGGCACATGACCGCCAAGCGACAAACCATGTCGGTAAGACACCAGAATAGGGGCAGCAGTGTACGCTCCCCACGCGGCGAGCTGTACGTTCGAGCCAACTTTTTGGTACCTATCGTATGATGGTGCTTGCCCTAGACCGAGGGGGTAAATCTCAGAGATTCTGCAATATGGCTTCCGACGATTAATTGGGATGAATCCTTCGCCCGTAGGGTTGGTGGCGAAGTATATAAGATATCTGGAAAATATACATTTTAGTACCTGAGGTAAATGTCTACATGTAGCATCATCAATTAGCACATCTAACACACCTGCGGTATACCCGGTTGATTTGGCGGTGACCCTTTGGAAGATCCCCAGTTCTTAACAGGCGCGAACATCTTTCTACATTGATAAGTTAATGAAGACCTAGGTAGGAGGTAGGTACCTAGGACTGAAGGTAAGTAGCGTCTATCTAAGGATGATTGAGTAATGGAACCACCTGTTTTCATTTAATACGTTTCCGTCCTCATATTACTTTGATACCACTGAATACAGCAATTGCAGTTATATATAGAGTAGCGCTCACCAAATAGGGAATACCCAACACACCTGTGGCAATACCTTGAACCCACAATGTCGCCATCAGTGGTGCGCCTACCAAAGTACCAAGAGTCTTTACCATCATAACGATAGAGAAGATGTGTGTTTCTGGATCCGTTGAGCTAGCCGGCCGGTCGTCGTCTTTCGGTGACACCGACGGCGATTTCAACAAACCCATCGTGAAGACTGGTAGGGCAGATCCAAGAGCATATAGTAGAAGAGACGGGAACAGAAGCCAGATAGCAATTGCGGAAGCAATAGCCAATGCACCTAGAACGGAGACAGCTAAGCAAATCCGGGCGTAACGGACATTGTCCCTGTCGAAAAGAGATTGAGATCGGGGTTGATTAGTAGAAGTTTTGGACCTTAGAATCCCCGGGATAATAAAGGTGAGAAGGGTGAAATTCACAATGGCCTTCGCAGAGAGCAAGTAGCCAGCTTTTGCAAAACTCCAATCGTATCTCTTTGATATGTACTGAGGCAGAAGTTTGGTGTCAGAGCTTGCGAGGGAAGTGAGAAAAAAGCTAAACAACAAGAGGATTAGGTTCCTGGGGTGACTTTGAACAATGTAATAGAGTGTACGGATGCGTTCGAAAACAGGTTTCAGGATGGAGGTTTCTGCTCCTTGAGCCTTTAGGATTGGCGATGATATGAGAGGCTGCCGCTGCTCATCTTCTGGCGTCATTGGAACATGCGTCGGATCTGTGAGAAATGATACCGTGGGAATTGCCAGTAACAATAAGAAAATACCGATGAAAAATGGCAGAAACAAGTTCAAGGTCATCGTTGCGCCAGCGAGCCCTGGACCGACAAACGTCACTACGTATGATACAGCGTTGGTCCAGCTGAAATAAGTTGCCCTAAATTTCCAGTGTCAACACCACTCCAACAGTAAGCTGCGCGTACATAAAACTCTTACCTAACAGCATTGTCCTCGGTAAGGCTGGCTGCAAGAGCATAAATGATTGAGTTAAAAACGCAATCACCCCCAAGGACCGAAAGACTCGGGCCAGCAACGATGGCTTTGAGAGGTAAGCTTTCTTCGAAACGGCCGACTACTACGGCCCAGGCAAGCATGAATAGCCTTGGCACGAGGTTGAGCCAGAGGACGGTTCTTCGACCGTACTTCTCAGCTACAAACCCCAAAGGAATAGTCATAACAAAATCTGTCTTGAATGTTAGCCATCTGAACTGATGTAATACGCGAATATTATCTCACCCCCGACGATCCATAAAGTCTCCATAGTTCCGGTTGTCCATGCTAGGCTTTGTTGGATAACGTCCAACTTGCAATGTCTCTCGCTGATATTTCCATCGCGATCGATGATAGAAGGGTCATGAATTATGTAGTACTCCCGACAAAGACGCTTCTCGATGACCCGGTTCAGCGGTAGTTGATAAAGAGTAGTCCCTAGATTGACCAGCAATAGTAAGATTAGTAGTGGTACAATCGCTGGTCTCGGATACGAGCGACGACGCGGCTCAGATATTGGGCTGCCGATGTCGCCCTCTGTCGTCTCCATGTCTCCAAGTTTTATTATAACCTAGCAAAAGAAAACCTCAAAGAGAGGTTATTACAAGGCAGCTGATAACAACTAACAACTTCAAAAAATCATTACAAGTTAGGTACAAAGAACCTTAGACGAAGAAGACGAAGACGACGTGGGGTTGAACGCCAATAGATAAGAGATCCCGAGTTGGTGGAATTGACGGTTAAGTGAAGATTAACTCTTACAACCAGGATCATCTAATATTCATTATACCCGTATTATGAAATAAAACCATACTCTAAATTGCTTCAAATCTCCAATTAAGCCAGCTTTAATCTATCGAAACATCTACAAACGTCTAAAAACATATAAAAACGAATACAGGTATCTAAGTTTATCCAATCCGACATCTTCAGTCATATCTTTAGTCGTATCATCATTAATGAACCTATTTCTAAGCGACAGTATTTCCTAATTCGCGTTTCTCGTCTGCTGTCAATTCGGCCGACGCACGGCCAATTTTCGAAGTAATCGCGCAACACAGCGTAAAACCTGCTAACCCAACGCCCGTCCAGAACCCAACTTGGTATCTTTCGCGGAGATTTGGATTCTCGTCTGCATGGGATCGAACCCAGGTTGAGACGGCAAGCTCGGAAACACCAAGCCATAATGCCATACCAAGGTATCCAAGACTCGTGATAAGTCCAGCGGCAGTGGCTTGATGGCGTCGGGGCATTGCCGTCGTAACGAAGACGTTGGTTACATTATATGTGATGTCAATGCCTATGGTACCGCAAACCATCGCCGGGAATACGTAGGCCCAGTAGAGATGACTTGTCGACATCCCGCTCAATCCGTCTTGCGCCGGCATGAGTGGGAATAACAAGACACACAGCACGTAACCCGTCCCAGAAAGGATTAGCAGGATATGGCCCGAAAGTATGTGCAGTACAAATCCACCGGTAATAGCAAGTATGAAACCGCCCAGAGCTAGTGGTGTAAACCACGCGGCAGTCTGGAGAGGAGTTGCGTGAATGACTTCTTCGATACTAATTCAAACGGTTAATGAGTGCTTATCAAAGTGACGGGGAGCACGATATACTTACTAAAAGCTTGAATAGAATAAGAAAATCGAAAATACACCAAACCCGCAAAATATGAAGGCAGAAATACGCTTCATATATTTCGGACGGAACATGTCAGCCGGAAGTAATGGCTGCGCCGAAACCCAGCCTTGCACGTACATCGCGGCACAGAGCAAAAGTGCACCGACTATGAAGGTTACGTATATGTAAGGTGTACGCCATCCGTCCGGCGCATTCCCACCGTCAGTAAGCGCAAAGACGACAAGCGCCAATCCGGGTACGATCGTGCACACGCCCCACCAATCCATACGAATCTCCGGGTCATCATGGCCAAGATTCCGGGGGATGGCAAAGAAGCCGGTAACGATGACGGCGAAGACAAAAGCAGAGCCAACCCAAAAGTAGACTGTCCAGTCAGCTAACTGTCCGGTCAGGGCGCCTATGATGATGCCGAAATAAAACCCTACGCAGGCGGATGCGCCGTACACGCTGAAGACAAAGTTTTTACGCGGGCCTGGCCGGTACGTCTGACCAAGGAGAGCGAGGCCCGCGGGAAGAAACGCGGAAGCACCTATGCCCTGCATTGCCCGGCTTGCTATTAGCATAGTAGGATTTTTGCTGAAGCCACAGACGATAGACCAGATTAGGAGCCAGATATGTCCACCCAAAAACACGTTTCTACCACCATACATGGCGCAAAGCCGGGCGAACGGCAGAAGCAGAACCGCAGTGGTCAAGTTGATCACGCTGGCGGGCCATGTTCGTTGCGACTGTGGAATATCTAAATCGTCGGCTAAGGCGGGCAAGACGATATTGAAACCGCTGATGAAATACTCGCTCATGAATAACGATGCAACCACGGCGAATACGAAGCCAAATTCGGCGGCCCAGTTAGGAAGGGTTTCTGGCCGCTGACGACCGAGACGTTCGATGTCGGCTTTGCCCAAGGCTTCACAGTTCCCCTCTTCAGGAGTTCCGGGATTCTGATCGAATATCCCATTATTAGCCTCTATCGACTCCCCCATGGTGTATCGTACACTATCGATTGTAAGAAGTCTATTGGATTAGGTCGGACTGAAGTTAAACGAAGTAAACTGCAACAATTTAGGGACGCGAACTCTTGAATTTATTCCGCCGAATTCGACTGCTCGATTTTGACAAAAGAGACATGTTCAGTGTTTATGTAGCGGTCACCAGAGGAAAGTGTTAGTAAAAATCCAGTCACCGTCTTGTTAGTGTCATGAAAAAGTCACTTCAAAGCTGCGGGAGGTGAATCTTGGCCACCATATTCGGGAACACCATCAAATTATGCAATCGAAGATGTGGATGTCGACGGGAACCCTGGGTACCATTTCCGGGGTACCGAAACTTCTAATTGGCCAACAATGGCAAAGCGGAAGCTAAGAGAACATTATACTGGAACTGACAATGCACAACTTGAATCTTGGCTACCCTTTGTGGCATAGACTAAGCAAATTGTACATGATGCCAAAGTTTAAGCCTCCAGAACCTCGCCCCCGTCGACTCCACTCGTTAAAGAAGTTTTTTACAAATCGTGTTGTAATAAAAATACCAGCTACCTTAGGAGGTACCTAACCTAAGCTAAATATTCTTCATCGACCCAACATCGTCGGTCTCTCACTCGCTTTATCGCATAACGACGGTCAACTGTCAAAGTAATAGTTACTAATGGTGACTTACTACTTGGCTGCGTGGTCGTGTTCAGATTCTCGATCTCTCAGTAAAGTACTAGTATCAAATGCCAAACTAGGATTAAGTACCTTAAAGTAAATTGACAAGATCCGACTGGAAACCTTACATTGTTGCCGTCTGGGTTGTCTACCTAACCTAAGCCAAGCTTTCTTAGTCTTTGGTCTAGACCGAACTCAGGTCTCGAAACGAATCGCAGATCTTCGTTTGTTCTTCGGACCCTTGATCTGTTTGCACCTGTTATTCATCTAAACAATCATCACTATTATTTACAACTTACAAGGGACTCATCCCTTATCACACCGTCACACACCGATTCCACAGCTTTGGCGTCTAATCATACCTCATGGTCGCGCCAAAGGCTTGTCACAACTGCCGGAGTCGACGCTTACGATGCGACCGGTCGGTCCCTACATGTCATAAATGTACGAGCACCGGGCAAGAATGTCTTGGATACGGAACGCTATATAAATGGGTCGATAATAAGACATCCAGAGACCGAACATCGTCTAAACCTTCCGTCCACTCCGCCTCCAAACATCGGGAGCATGTCACGTTCCAGCCGCATAATCCTGTATACGTCGACAAACGTTTGGTTCCCTTCGAAAACACTAAAGCCTCCCTCTCTCCCGATTTCGCATTATTAGATCCACTATTTCAAGACTTAAGCCTGTCGTCACGGCATTATCTCCACTACTGTGAGTCCCCTTTCCAATCCACCCCCATCTTCACTCACCGCCAAGCTAAGAAGAGCTAGATACCACTCGTTTCTGTCAAGACCTCATTATTTATGATTCGCCCCGTCGTGGTGCCAATCCATTTAGAGACCTAATTCCCATATCTCAGAAGTATCCTTTTCTTCGAGAGATCATCGTCGCAGCATCCGCTCTGCACTTCTGCAATGCCGCGCGTTGGCACAAATGCCCTAGGCCGGCAGCCGAGTCCTTTGTAGACGCCCTGCGTGCTCGACATAGAGCTATCAAGTCTCTGCAAGATGTTATAGAGCACTATAAAGTCCAAGACGACGTGGAAAACGACGATGCAGGGAGAGATGCGCTACTTGCTGCTGTGCTGTTTTTCGTCAATTTTTCCCTGATAGATTCCGGGAAGGGCGGCTGGCGAGCTCACATGAACTTCGTCGGCACGCTTCTTCGCATGCGAACATCTAATATTTCGGGCCAGGCTCAGATAAAACCGAGGCCAGAAGAGGATCCTACCTTCAGTCTAGATTTTACGGCGCATGATGCACTTCTCTCGTTACCATTTACCCGCCGTCCCGCGGCGCCTTCCCAGTCCCTAAGTGTTGGTGATTATATTGCTTCAGACTCTGTGGCTTATTATATCTGGAGCAATGCGCTTGACTCCCTTGTATTGTCTAGTAACAAACTTATAGCAGCGCCCCCGGCATTTGATGAGGATGGTATCGTGCTCTACAACATCCTCGTCCGCACCGAGGCCAATAGCTATCACAGTTGTCCTTCTATCTTATTGTATGCAATTTATCGAACCTCTCAGCTAGCAAGGGATATAAGATCGAACGAGTCCAGCGTTCTAAATGACAAGCAAATCGAGACTTGTCGGTCGCTTTTACATGATATCGAAGCGTTTGATAGTGACGCTTGGGCCGCCAGAGTCTCTGCGCAGATTGTCGCGATCACCGGTCATGCGGACGAGATTGAACTACGCTACCGGAGACACATCGCTGGTACTTACCGCGCCGCCATTTTTCTGTATATCCTATTAGTTGCGCCGGAATTGCCACGTCAGGTTGCTTGCCACGAGGACAAAGATTTCCCAGCGCTTCCGAGCACTGCGGACCTGGCCGCCACGATTCTGCACCATCTTTCCTTTGTCCCAACTGATAGCCCGCTATTCAAATTCGCCACCTGGCCTATCTTTCTCACCGGTGTCGAAACGGCGGACGAGTCGCGCAGAACGTGGGTGATAGATCGACTGCGCGACATGAGGGATCTCTGCCCCTGGGGGATGCTTACGTCGACGATGGAGACGCTCGTGGAGATATGGCGCATGAGAGATAGCTCGTTGGCGACCGAAGAGTCGGAAGCAGATGAAAGGTCTCCGGGCGGCAGGATGTCAACCGATACGTCGGATCAAAAGGTTAAAAGCCACTGGCTAATGCAGCTGCAAGGCTTTAAGATCGACTGTTTGATTGTGTGAAGCTAAATGGTTGGTTGCACTGCGCGACACGAACACGCTCGATGGCGCGACTTCCCATAAGCAAAAGCTTGGGACGTATACTCAACCTCCAGATACGCATGTGTCAGTCACCCAGTCGGGTTATAAAGTAAAGAAGAATCTCTGGTGATCAATCAAATGCTAAAAAGCCCAGGGCCAAGGGCGACACTCGCATGGCGTTTCGGTAGCAGCACCCTGAACAGTGAATATCTAAGAGTCTCCTATATAAGAGCAATGTATCAGAGCGTATATTGTTTAGGGATGGTACAGTCACTGAACTAAACGGCCATTTAGACTTGTGAACCGTCAGTCTCGCATCTACCCCTAAGCTCCTGAGACATTCACCCTACAAAAGAAAAAAAAATAATAAAAATAAAATAAAAATTTACGATTCGAGATCCAAGAGAATGCGAATTTATTCAAATTCATTACTATATTTGTCCCTTTTTCATTATACTCTTTTTTTCGATCTTTCTATGTGGGAGTCGAGTTGTAAGTGTTATCATCCCCACCAAAACGTGATATATTTGTTAAAGATGTTGTAATCTCTCATTTCGTTTCATTCATATTCAATTCAAAGAAAAGTATATTAAAATCAATATAATTCGCTAACAATAACCATTAGGTATTCTAGATATCTATTGAGCGAAGAATAAAACTTTTTTTTTCTATTTTATTGGGTTTGTAATGGCTTGGTAAATTTTCTTACGAAAGTTTGGGAAGATTCGAGACTGTTCCATAGGCCTGGTAGATGGGAGAGAACTCTGATTGAGGACCAGTTAGGCTTCCGCTTCCGACTCTGGTCTCGGTTTCGGTTTCAGTTTCGGTCTCGGTCCAATCGGTTTCAGTCTCGGTTTGATACTCGGATTTCAAGCCAAATTCGCCAGACCCCACAGCTGTAGACTCGGTGTCTGTGAATGGTTCCAACTCGCTCTCATAATAGTTCGGGATACTAGTTCTTGGACGCAGTCCATACTGGTACAAAGGAGCCGTCGCCTGAGTCTCTGGCAAACCCGCTTTCGGCGAAGTCGCCTTGGTTACCCTCCCTCTTCGGCGTTCGACAATCAAGGGACACTCCTTCCGGAGCACCCTGAGCCCGATCGCAATGTCGAAACTAAAACCCGTATTCAAACCCCCGTCCTTACGAGCCTCATTGCCTGGTCGCTCATCGGGTTCCGGCTTCACCTCGTAGAGCGTAGTGCCGTGGAAGTCCAAATAACGCCACGCGGTCGCCGTGTTAGAAGCGGCAAGCACCAAGATGCCGTACGACGCCAGGTAGAAGTTGCCTCCCTTGGTGTGGTCGTCAGGGGCGGTAGCGGTGTAAGAAGCGACGAAGGAGTTGGCGAACCAGTCTTTGCGCTCGGTGATGCTGGCATAATTAACAATTGCCTCGGCTGATGGTGGCGGCAGTTCCAGCCCGTTCTCACCCGTCTCAAAAGTGACAGCCTCGCCGCCTACCTCGAACGTGAACGATTCGTCATCCTTCATCTTGTCCATTCGGGGCAAGTCGCATTTTCGAATAGTGTCGTTGAAATCGGCGGTAATCTCGGGAGGGAACTTGGATTTCATCAGGTTCCAGACGATCCCAGCCATGCCCTGTGCTTCGTTATCTCTTTCCATCTCAGGCGTTGACTCGCCGTCCTTTTCCAGTCTCTGCCGCTCTCCGAGGAGCTTCATGTGGTGTTCAGACGAGATGCCGCAATCGTACCCGAAGTAGCAGATGCTTCCCGGGCCCGGGCGCCCTGTGCACACAAAATGCGATGAAGCTTTCTGGCACACGCCTTCCATTTTCTTCCTCAGGTCCTCGTCGGGCACGAAGTCACGAAGCACCACAAGAACAATCTCCTTGGAATCGAGGTCACGGAAAATGACGCTCTCGTCTTGTTGGATGATATGCCTCATGCGTGTGTAATCGAGGTTCAAGACTTCATAGGGCACACAGAAGTCAAGCTCCGGACGTTCCAGCTGATCTTTCCAATTCTCCTCCCATTGTTTTGTCGTCTCGGGGGTCTCCACCATAAAACATTCATTTGGCGGATATTCCTGGCTGAGTCGTGGCAGGTCAACGACCTTGATGTTAGCAAGGTACTTGTCTCTCTGGCGTGGCGACCAATTCAAACCTAGGTCGTCAATAAGCTTCTGACTAGCTTTAGTGCTCAGCCCCATCGTGATATAAATCGTTTAAATATTAGGTGATAGAATGTGTGAATAGGTATAGTTTGAAATTGAGTAAAGGTATTGCAAAGAAGATGATGCGCCAAGGTCAATTGATCGATACACAGGTTATCTAGAGAAGTAATCTTATTGCAAAAAAGACCTCGTAGATCCGACTGGCTTATATATTCGTACTCGTAGATGCATGTCTCGATAAACAGTAGGAACAAACATCATATTTCAACTCTTTGAGTAGTGACATAAATCCTTTTCTCTCTGGTAAAATCAACTTCAAGACAAAGGATATCATCGCGAACAATTTAATTATGGCTTCAAGACAAGCAGCATTCTATGTCATTGTCAACACATACTTCAAATTATGCGTGTAGGAGTTGAAAGACAAAGACATACCTCCTGATTCCTTCTCGAAGGGTATCTTCCGGGTAAGAATAGACAAGACGGAACCCGCCGGGCTTCGGGGCGTAGTACTGAGCTCCTGTCGTTATGGTAATACCTACCTTCTTGAAACGTTGGGAAAGCAACTTCTCGGCTTCCCATCCGTCTCCGTCGGTTTCCGCTAAGGGTAAGAAGGGGGCTAAGTCGAGCCACATGAAAAGACCGGCATTCCTGCGTTATCGTTAGACCGTCAATTTTCGGACCTCTTTTAATAACTTTAGGTACGTTCGGATTCGCATACCCCTTTTCATGGAAACGGACACCCGCCCGGGTAAGGAGGTCTTCGGTTATCAAGCGATTCCGACGCAATAGTCCCCGCGACTTCTCGAGGAATTTCTTCAAATACTCCTGGTCGTCGAGGAGCTTGGCTGCTAGATCCATCGAAAACTGGGAGGGCGAAGAGAAACAACTAATTTTATATAGTTAAGCACAACACGCCAAAACCCATAGAGCAAGAGCGGAGTGATGGAGTCGTACCATATGGCGCGAGCTGCTTTAGTGAACTCTGCGTTGCGAGAAATAAGGCACCCTAGTCGCATTCCAGCTGCACCGAAGTCCTAGGTTTTAAGATAGTTATAGAATTAGACTTGGGTTATTGAATCAAAGCCGGAAGATGGGATGAGGTTACCACCTACTTTTGACATGCCATAAAGCACATGTACCTGGGCAGGATCAATAATTCCAGTAGTATCAATGGATAGTACAGATGTGAATTCCTCGGATGGGCCATCTTCTCGACGAAAGGTTGAGAGAGCGTATATCTCATCGCTTATGAGGTGAATTCCTTTCGACGCGCATAGGCGCATCAGACCAACAAGCGTTTCGCGGGGATAGCATCGTCCTATAGTAGAAAATCAGTTATTCTATCGTCCAGTCTGTATTATTTTTATCCCTACCCGTTGGGTTATGAGGATTGCAGATGACAAGCGCTCTGATATTAACCCCACGAGCTTTCGCTGCCTCGAAGCCTGCATCGTAGGCCGCGACGCAGTCAGGAGAGAATTGTTCTGTGTCTCCCACATCTACATGCTCAAGGATTGCGCTTTAAAGGAAGGTTTGTTAGAATCAACATTGAGATAAAATATTCGTAGAGATGGGCAGTGCCTACCCAGTTCTCATGGTGAGATCTCGAGAAAAGGCTCCATAGACCGGCCTGCCAAGTAGGAGACCCTCCTGATTGCCCGGGTTGCAAGTGATCAAGGCGGATGCTTCATTTAGAGCCGTGACTCCCGCCGCGAAAGTGATTTCCTCCGGGTTAACTTTTTGCGCTGGATTGAAATGCGTATTCAAGTGCTTCGACATTGCGGTTCGTAGCCGAACCGTACCGGTGTATCCTTCGCCATACGAACACAGCCGCGAGTCAAATTTGTTCTGGAAGGAGAAATGTCAGTGGTCTGAAGTTACGGACTTGATTATATGAGAGCGTCCTACGTGAGTATTGATGAATTCCGTCAAGTCATCATGCATGAGCCACTGGGATTCATATCAGTCCTTCCGCAGCATAGATATCTAATCAGCCCAATTATTAACTCACGTTTTCAGCGAACATGAAGTGTATAGGCCCAGTCGGATTGTTGGTAGCATGATAACTGTCTATCTTGCCATGGGCGTAGTAGAAATTGGTCCAACCTTTCGCTCTTGTGGATAGCATGGTGTAAATAGAGCGAAATAATACTGTTAACACTTCCAAAAGATTCTTAGAAAAATGATAACCACCTAACCCAAATTCCAGGTTACCTAGATGTCGGAATTAGATTTTAGCATTTAAATATTTGCACATTTGGTCGATCGTGAGTTTGGAATTTATGTAACCTGAGTATACGACTCATAAACGACTCTCAGAGTGAGCCGAGCACGGAGAAGTCGTGACTTCTCTCGGCTTGCGATACTACGATATCGGCTACTTCTATGCATTCTCGCGCCTTTAAGGTGGATACCGCCATTTGATTAGTTAAGTATCGATAACTATTAACTAGAGTAGAGTTACTATTATTGAACACTTGTTTATATAATATTAGAACTTTGGTATTGGTTTGATATGATAATATACCATTGATATGATACGATAGACGTTTGCTATAGTCATGGGTATCATTGGACCAATGAGATAACATCTCTTCGTATCTGTATAACTGATAAGGATTCTTAGTGCGGTTCTTGAGGACTCTGGGACTCTCATTTTATTTGTCTTTCCTGCCGAATACTTTATGTCAACAATTTACCCTTGGCAGTTTACTTGCTTTATATTCCAGAACTCGATAACTTCTTCCCGGCTTTCCTATAACCCACCTTACATGGAGGTAATTACCTAAGACATGAATTAACTACCTAAGGAAGGTAAACTCATTTTAGAGGATCATCGGGTCTGAAACCGCGCCGCCGTGGGGTAATCGTTGTGCGGCTGTGGGGTATGATTTTAGCCTCCTAATGTCGATTTATACGTTGCACGCTAGGCGGGCTTCAACAACTTATAGCCAGCGCTATTTTCCTTGAGAATCGATTTAGCGCAAAGAGATCATGTCATGGTACGGTTAGCCACCTAGGCGAAATTATACACTGTAATATCTACTGTATCTGCAAACCGTCCGGCGGGTCGGGCGTGCTGGTGCGGAGGTCGTACGCGGGTTGCCTTTACGTCGTATAATTCTCTGATTGATCGTCAGAAATATGTCTTGACGTTGAATAAGATGGTTTATATATTCGACGTTTAAAAACTAGCATGTGATCTTTCGAGTTATATACCTTGGGAAATGTTCTTAAGAGTATAATATTTTGTCAATCGTTATGGATAATTTCCCGTTGGATATTCAAGGCATAAAGCATTCATAATTTAAACAAATACAGTACATCCCAAATGGTAGGTCACGATATCAAGGTACGTAACGTATCATATTCTTGGAGTGCTTGGCTAGTGTACCTATTAGCAAATAAATATCATGTAGAAGTAGGTGATTCAAGAAACGTGATTGGAACGTTAAACTCTTCTAACCTCCATGTGGATATAACTCCCGCACTTGTTGGACGAACAGACAGAACGGTCGGTTTCTAGCGCCACTCAGCCTTAAAACTTTGCAACGCTAAAGCCATCCATCTTCTGCACGCGCCTCTATAATGACCGCTGTTACTCCGAAGACTTTATCCAATAACGTATGTCGTTTTCTTGCCGTTTCTGCCGTTTCCCCAGCCATTTTTTCACCGGCAAGCCTGTTCCTGCAATCCTGAAGCTCGGCGCCGATGAATGAAGAAAATCAAAGACGTTTCGGTCAAACCTTAATAATATGTCTCAATGTCTAAATCTCTTTTTTTTCCCGTCTCAACCTGCTAGTTTTCAGCCGTACTTTTAACAGGTACTATACTTGTTAATTGATCAATGCGACGAAAGTTTAACTAGTATACACGCGGCCCGCATCGCATCTTGGACCGAAGACCATTGAAGAACTCGGTAAACTCAAGTTGGTTGCGATCTGCGCTCGAAACAACATGCACACGTGCCACTTTGTTTTTGATCTGCGCTGGAGGGGCTTTGGGGCTTTGGGGTTCAGCTAAGTAGGCCTAAAGGCTAGACATGACTCGCTACGTATCAGCGTATATGGCTGGGATATACTGCTACATAATTGGCATATCAGGTAAGCCAATTAAAGGAAACGATACTATCGTGTTACATCAATCATTGATCAAAGGCCTATCTACGCTGAGATATTCTATACCCTTGTATACAGACTTCCCCGCGTTACTTAGATTACCTGCACCTAATTTTGTCGAATAACAATATTAAACGATGCTTGCCTATGCTTGCGTCGATGGAATTTCCCAACAGCATTCGGTTGGACTGGTCTTCTCAGAATGGCAGGTCTCTTATCTTACTCCAGGGACAATTACGGCATCGTGCATCGTGCATCCTAGCTCATAAGACCCTGGAGAAGTCTGACGGAGCTGAACCCTTGATCACAGGTAACTGGCTATTTGCAGAGGGAATCGACCTAGAGTTTATCTTGGCCGCACGAACGAGAGAGGAAATAATCTTCCTTTCTTCCTTGTCTGCATCGTATCCTATCTTGGCGAAACCAACGATGCGAATGTCATGCATAGTACAAGGTACATGGGTACTTTTTATCAGTGGCCCATACCTAAACCGGCATCCCGGTGGTTTCGCGTCGTAACAATGTTATGTTATGTTATGTTGCTACTAGATATTCGATCGCAAGTGGCGAAAATATGTAGCCCGATATAAGTCAATACCTAAATGCGATGTTACAGGTTACAGGTAGGTATCTACCTAGGTACACAGCAACTTTGCTAATTCCCGACCGGTACCGTAACCCAATTGCTCCGGCCCTTCGGCGCTGAGCCGATCCGGCTAACCATCACGCCAACAGCGGTGTACCCCCCACTGATCCGACGATTAGAGTTCCTGTCGGAGAGGGGCAGCAGCGGCTCGCTTCCCCACCTTTGTGGTAAGGTCCCTGTCGAGATGATGACATAGCCCGGGATAAGGTTACACTACATTACCGTATGGGTCATGGGTGATAGATATACTTTGTAACGGTGTACCTGGATGCTGTAATACATACTTGGACTCTGTAGAAAAACTAAAACTTGGCCGATCACCTTTTAATTTTTTTCTTAAATTTTTCTTTTCTTTTTCTTTATTTAACTTTGCTTACCCGTCTCTAGCTGAGGCATTGGAAACATATATTAGGTAGGGCATTTCGTTGCTTCATCCATACTATCCTACTTGTATTTTCCGACCACGGAAAACAAAAAACCAAGACGCCATCGCGTGCGCACTTATAATGATATCAAGGCCACTACACTTCCAACAATCTTCTTATACCCTCTCCAGCATTCCGCTCTCTCAGCGGAGTTCACTGTCGTGCTCTCAATATGGCGGTAGCACACGAGAAGTCTCAGCCGATGTCTGCACCCCAGCCCGAGAGGGCCATGAGTAGTGATGAGAAGAAGAGCGAGGGCTCGGATGCAGACATTCGCGAGACTTTGGTCGAAGTCTCCACTGAAAACCAACTGTTTCGCCACCTAGGTAATCGCCAGATCCAATTGATTGCCGTCGGAGGCAGCATTGGTACCGCTCTCTTCGTAAGTATCGGCGGTGGTCTTGCCAAGGGCGGACCGGGTAGTCTTCTCATCGGGTATACCATCTATGCTATCATGGTCGGTATGGTGAACAACTCCATGGCTGAGATGGTTACCTACATGCCCGTGTCCGGCTCCTTCATTCGAATGGCTGGTAGATGGGTCGACGAAGCTTTGGGATTTATGGCTGGATGGAATTTCTTCCTCTACGAAGCCTGTCTCATTCCCTTCGAGATATCCGCTATCAATTTGGTGCTTGGATTCTGGAGGGATGATATCCCTGCGGCAGCTATCTGTGTAGCATGTATCGTGCTTTATGCGTATGTGACCCTCCTTTAAAAACTCTTGGCCGTTACATTACAACCTTGGGACGAAAGATAAGTTAACATCAAAATGATAGCATTATCAATATCGTGGCCGTGCAATATTTCGGGTGCGTGCATGACCCCAACCCAACTTATACCCCAGCATATCGTCTAGGGGGTATTATCGCGGCATTATCGTAGATTGGTACATTGCCTACTCCACGAACCCCGCGACCTCCGCCTAGACCAATTTGGTGCTGTACCTAATCCGTAATTAGTATATTTGCTAATCTAGATCGTGTAGCGAAGCCGAATTCTGGCTATCCAGTGGAAAGATCCTGCTTATCTGCATCCTGTACATGTTTACTCTAGTCACCATGTGTGGGGGTAACCCCAGGCATGACGCCTACGGTTTTCGGTACTGGTCAGATCCAGGGTCTTTCGCCGAGCACCTTCACGATGGCGCATTGGGTCGTTTTGAGGGTTTTCTCGGTGCTATTTATTCTGCAGGTTTTACCGTCGTCGGACCTGAATACCTTGCCATGGTCGCCGGAGAGGCGGAGCGCCCACGAACGTATCTCAAAAATGGATTTAAGACCGTTTACTGGAGATTCGCCATTTTCTTCATTGGCGGAGCGCTTTGCGTCGGTACTGTGCTTCCGTACAACAACGAGACACTGCAAAATGCAGATACTGGAACCGCTGCCGGCTCGCCCTACGTTATCGCGATGCAAAATCTAGGAGTTGGAATACTTCCCCACATCGTCAACGCCCTCATGATCACCAGTATCTTTAGCGCTGGAAATGCCTACACATACTGCGCGATGCGATCCTTGTACGGTCTCGCGTGCGACGGCCAGGCCCCCAAAATCTTCAAAAAGACGCTAAAGAACGGCATTCCTGTCTACGCTTTCGCGCTCGTCATGGTTTTTCCATTCTTGTCGTTCTTGCAAGTGTCGAACAACACAGCGCAGGTAGTGACATGGCTTGCTACGCTCACGCAAGGCTCGCAGATGATCAATTACATTGTTATGAGCTTGACATACATCTTTTTCTACAATGCGACAAAGGCGCAGGGCATTGACCGCCGCAGTTTACCATACTATGGCTATTTCCAGCCGTACTGTGGGTACATCGGACTGGTGTGGATGATTATCATCGAGGCCACATTTGGTTACTCGGTGTTCTTACCCGGGCATTGGAATGTCGGTAACTTCTTTGCTTTCTACACGATGGCCATCGTGGCTTTCTGCACGTATTTCGGCTGGAAGATTTACCGACGCACGCGATTCGTCTCTCCCGCGGAAGCCGATCTCGTCTGGGAGAAGCCGGCTATCGACGCTTACGAGGCCGCGTATAACGAACCCCCGACCCGATTCGTCGATGAGATGAAAGCTATATTCTTCGGAAAGAGGAAGAGGGAGAACTACATGGGAGAGGACTCGAGCTAGAAGTCGGGCATGCACTTTAACATAGCGGCTTAGATTCGATGGCGCCGGAAACGGTTTTGACGAATTAACAGCGCGCTGACGGACGGAGAAGAGAGGAACATATTTATTGATATATAAGTCGTTCTAACATGTCTAGGTACTGACTATATATTTTGGAAAAAATATCCTTATATACCTAGGTAGGTAGGTACCTACCTAGTCATGGCCGCCCAATATATGCAACACAGTAAAATCAAATTCAGTCGTTCGATTCCAAGTACCAAACAAAGCCTCTATCAATAAATTGTTGTTCATCTCAGAATACCGTAGACAGGGCGACTTATTCGAAACCTCTACGATATGCCGTGTGACCCAACCTGTCCAGCCGCACCACAGTTAATGCGGCCTATTATGCGAAACATGATAGTAGGGTTACCGCAACTAGAAAATTTGACCTAGACGATTCATGCATAGGAGGGGAGGGAACCGTCCGGCGGTAAGAGAAAACAACATCCAAAGGAGAAACCATGTATTTTGATCCTCCCCAGTCTTGCTCAAGTCCTATCTTACCTACCAGGATGTCGACTTATCTACATGCGGGGTGGATTGTCAAGAATGTGGTCTCGAACATTTCCCAACTCAACAACCAAGTAGGCTGATAAGGATATCAGATACGTAGGAGTTACTATCAAGATTATCATGACAAGATGCCGAAGATGACCGAACTTGGCCCTTTATCTCTCCGAAAACAAGCATAAGACGGTCGTGACGTTTCGCGCCAGCGACGCGAAAGATCCGTGGGGGGGTTCTTGATAAGAAGCGTCTCCAGCTACGTCGCAATCCAAGGAATGATAGCTACTCCAAAATTTCGATAAGAATTGCAATATGATTTTATTTTCGCTTCTAGCTGCTTACCTCAAACAAGACCCATGCCCCCAAAATAGACAATGCCTTAGCCCATGAAACTGTTGATAACGGTGACGAATGTCGTGTACAGCATAGCAACAACCCCAACTACCATGAGTACGATATCTACCGCTTTAGCCTTCCACGTTTCCGCGACGCCTTTGTAGTGGAGAAACGCCGGATAGATGTAGACCAACGGGACACAGGCAACAGATCCGATCAGCGCCACGAACCTATCGAGGTTAGAAGCGCCTATGATCGCAAACCCTCCGCAGGCAATGACGACTACCGTCCTAAAAGCGTTCTTGATCCACTTCGTGCGGGTACTCTTCTTGCCCGAATGGGAGCCAAATATTTTACCTTCCATGATACGGATGGCGGGGAATAGCTGGACGGGGGTTCCAACAAGGACCGCGAGCGAGTAGAGGAACTGCACCGCATTGACAAACTTGCTGTCTTGGGGGTAATTGTTGATGATTTCAATTTCCGTGTTTTCACCGAACGTAGCGTAGCAAAGAGCACCGACAGCAGTAAAGAGGATGGTAATGAGGAACATGACTACGCCGAGAAGCCACTCGAAGCGCTCCGGTTTGGTCATCGACGACTGGATCGGAAGAACGAGCCCAATACCTTCGAAAGTGAAGATAGCTGCCCCGATTGTGAGGGTGTACTTTGCAGGGTTGAATAAAACGACGCTTTCATGAATGCCATTAGATGCCAAGTGCGCAATGTCATAATAATAGATGTAAGTTACACCGATCAAGATGCAAACATCAGCAAGAAGGGCAACAGGGCCGAGTTTTGCTATTCTCCGAATAAACGCCAGGGGTATGAGAATGATGAGCTGTATGAGGATTAGAAACGTAGGGGATAACGGACTGCTGTCCCCGTGCGAAACGGCTTTCAGGAACGACGTCATGTTCTCCGCGACAAACACCATGCCGGCACAGACGAAGCCCAATTGCGACATGGCGATGGAGAATAATATCAAGCCGCGCATGAATTGCCCTGCTATCGCGTGGCCGATCTCTCCGTAACCACCGTCGTATTTTTTCTTGCAGGCAAGAAGCAAGTGGAACGCCAACATGGTAACTGCGGAAATAACCAGCATGGTGAGAGAGGAAAACAAGATGCCGCCATTGTTAAAAGCTTTGGGAAGAAACATAATACCGGTTCCAATAAAAGCCTTCAATAGGGTAAAGAAGGTCTGTTTTGTGCTGGCGGTAGCGTAGCGTGGAGCGCGCGAGACCCTCCGCTGTCTAAGAAGCGGGCTCGTTTCGCTCGGCTGCTGCTCCCAGCCCTCTTCTTCTCGTCCTTCTTCTACTCCCTCCTCCTCGGAAAGTATTGCCTCGTCATCATCCGAGTCCGCAAGGTCCTCTCCAGCAAAACTACCATACAGTTCGAGGAATTCCACGAAGTTCCGAGTTACGGGAACCCTGGAGGCCCAGATATCGCTCTGCTTCTTCTGCCGGATGAAGGCTCTACGAAAGCCTCCCGGGGCCAAATGGTCGCTTACGGTCAAGCCGCCGTCGGGTCCAGGTTCCCCGGTAAGATCCTTGGGGAGGTGGAAGGTTGCAGCTCGCTTATGCATCTTCGCCCTCGCGGCGGTCTTGAAGAGGTCTCGGTGTATGTCACCCCCCTGAAGCTTCAGCGAGGATTCGCCCAGGTCTTGGTCTGCCGGGTCCGGATTCGAAGACGACGACGCGCAAGCAGACGAAGGGGAAGAAGCGCGGGGCGCCCCGTCGAATACGGCCGTGTAGCCAGACGGGAGGTGTTCCGAGACGACCTGCGCGTCGTGCTGGGACTGATCTGATCTCGGGACGTGGGCCATTGTGGATAGATGACCATCCAAAGAGATGCCGGTCTAAATAGAAGGTAGGTATTTTTTTTCTAAGAGCTAAGCGTAAACGTACATGAGAGATTCTGTCTCTAATTGTTGAAAGTAAAGCAAAAAGCAAAATGGTGGGTTATTTATTCTAAAGCTTGATATATATATGGGCTTTGGTGTAATGCATTTTAGATTTGAATCTGGATGTTGTTTTTGTTTCTGGTTTTGGTTTTGTGTTTTTTCTCTCTTTTGGATGTTTGAAGTTTGTAGTAGTAAAGTGAGAAGTTCTGAAGGTGAAGAAGCTAGGTACCTAACCTTAGAGGTAGCTATTACATCAAAAGCGAAAAGAATGAAACTACGAGTGGAGGTCTCAAGCAATGGAAGCTTCCACTTGCGCTATTCATGAACTCATAGAAGACGGTGAAACCTAAAAAGCCACAGGCGCGTCCCGTCATATGGATCCCAAATCAGACCGACAACTTGGCAAAGGCCAGTTGGCAGCCCACGATGAACCGTTAGACCGTTAGACCGTTACCTAATGACGTCTCTTTCTCTTTTCTAGCGCCGGCTTGAGCTAAGTAAAGTTTTTTGCGGGGTTGGTGGGACCCGACATGACTGGCTAGCAAATTCTCGCAGATCCTTAGCTTAGAATTTTACACCGTCGGAAGCATAAAATATATACTTTTACTACAAAGTCTTTCACTATCAATCAGCACATCCAATCACCATCCAAAGGGTGGTACAAATTCTCGATTGGTCTAGTGGTCAGGATACCTGCTTGTCATTCACATGAACAAGTACGCAGGTGGCCGGGGTTCGATTCCCCGATCGAGAGCATCTTTTTTTAAGTTTTATTTTTTTTTTCCCCTTTTTGACCAGATCGGATATGCAAATGCCAAAAAGCTTTCACATCTTACTGGCGTTATTAGAAGCTGGTATTGACGTATTTATGCTATCTCGCTTTTGATTGAATCAAGTTATAGCCTCAAGTGCGAGCAGCTACAGTTCACGTGCCACTTATATCAACAAATCGAAGCCTTAAAAATCCCTACGATGTGTCTGTCATATTAAGAATAATATTATAAGAGATGCGACTATAAAATAGAGTCCTGTTTGGTAGCATGAAAGAGCAACCAAATAACACGTAACTCAGGTAACAAATTTATTTATACTTGACAATGCATCGTCGGGACGATTAAAAACGCCGATCAGAATAAATATCCGTTAACGAAATCGTATTGTATCTATGCATACATTATATACCTAATATATACATACTACGTACAGCGGCAGCAACGCTGAATAATTCAATATTCGGAAGACGGAAGAAGTTCGAAGCATCAATATTAATTAATAATCACCAGTGAGTCCGATTTCAGTGCGACAGAGGATCGGGATAAATTCAAGTCGTCGAGCACTATGCCTAATCAAGACATTACGATACCTTAATAAATGGAGATGTCCCCGGTCGTCTAACGGGTTTACGGGCCTAGACGGACGAATTCATCATCCCTCTTCTATCGTTTTAGGCAGACATCGACGTAGCTAACCTTCAACGATCTTGGATTTGAAACGTCTCTTATACCTCTTAAGCATGTATATATTATATACCTTAGGTTATGTAGTTAGGTAGGTAAGCTTCAACAGAATATTTAAACATAGACGTGTGCTCTCTCCTCGTAAGAGTATTTTTCCAGACAGCAACACTTTAAACACATCCATCCAGGAGACAGACCAGTGACCTACTTCACTATTAATATCTACTACCTCCGATCTATCTACCTTTTCTCACCCAACGACCTCCAGCCAATCTTATAAAAATGCCCTCCTACGTAGTTACCGGTGCGGGCAGAGGACTCGGTGTAAGCGTTCATACCTTATGTAGATAGCGCAGCTCGAAGAGATGCTAATCCATGACAAAGGTTGAGTTCCTACGCCAGCTCTCCGAGAATCCAGATGCAATTGTCATTGGACTCGCCCGAAACGTGGAAGCTGCCAAGAAGAAGGCAGCTGAGACCGGACGCCCCAATATCCATATCATCCACGGAGATCTGGATGACTACGAGTCTCTGAAGGTAAGAAAGCTTAGCTAGCTAACTCGTTTTTATCTGGGTGACGAGACAGTTTGTTAATATGGTGCACAGAAAGCGGCAGAGGAAACCGCCAAAATTACCGGAGGAAGCTTGGACTATCTCATCGCCAACGGTGCTTACATTTCCGGTGTTTCGGCCTCCCTGGGTCTTTTCGACTTGTAAGTATTCCCCCTTTTAGCAGGCTGGCGAAGAGATGAGCTAATATATCATGGCAAATCAGGGGCGAGAACCCCAAAGCTCTAGACGAGGACTTGGAAAAGTCCTTTAGAACTAATGTCTACGGAAACATCCACCTCATCAACTTCTTCCTGCCCCTGATCCAAAAGGGACAAGCCAAGAAGGTCATCTCCATCTCGACTGGACTTGCCGACTTCGAATTGACCAAAGAGTACAAGATCGAGCCGGCCGGCCCGTACGCCATGAGCAAGGCAGCTCTCAACCTTGCAATTGCCAAGTATCATGCGCAGTTCGCCAGCGAAGGAATCCTATTCTTCAGCATCTCTCCTGGCATGGTTGCAACGGATGCAAACACGCCTCCGATCAGTAAGTCCCACTTTCGATTCAGCTCCCATAGGTATTCGTTTGATAACCCAATTATACCTACCGTGTACCGAGTATAATTACTGACACGTCTGCAATTACAAAGCTACCGAAAGGGAGCAGAAGAAAGCTCAACAGATGTATGCCAGCTTTGCCCAATACGCGCCTCATTTCAAGGGTCCGATTACCCCGAAGGAGTCGGTTGAGAAAGTCTTGGGTGTTATTTACGACTCCAGCCTGGAGAAGGGAGACGGCGGCGCGTTTGTATCGCATTTGGGACGAGGGCAGCCGTGGATATAAGTGTTGGCTCAGCCATAGTAGAGCACGGACGGGATTGCATGAGTGGTATGGATAACGAATTTGCAAGAATTAAGTTAGCAAAATAAACCCCCCGCTCCCCTCTCTCCCACCCTACAACCCCCGAACACTGTTTACGTGATGCTATAGTGGTGAGCTTTTGCGCCGTACCTATAATGCATTGATAACAGGGCGCCGTGAGATTGGAACCGTGCTTCGGAACTACTTAGTCACAAATCTATACCGCCTAATGATTGACAGAAGCATAGCATTACAGTCACGGGATAAAACAAAAGAAGGATTGGAACAATTTCATTGCAACGCAAGGGGTACTAACCTGCCCGATACTGAATGTATCCTTTGTTCTACATATTCTATCGGGGCCCGGAAGGTAATAGACTGTCGGTTTAATAAGTACGGGTATCTAGGTAGATACGTGATTTGAATTCACCTTGGACCGTAAGCCTGAAAGAATGGAGTAGGTAGCCTTAAGCCAGAGAATATTTACCCTCGTGATAGCATAGCCGATATAGTGACTCCAGCAAGGAAAAGATGCAAACCTGAGAAGCACTTTGCGATTACCTAGGTAAAAATGAAGCTTAATTCATCACCTTCACCCCTTTTTCCTAAGCTTCATCGTCACAAACGTCGAGAAGAACTCGGCACCCTCAATGGTTACGGGTACCGAAAGGAAAAAGGAAAAAAAAAAGAAAAAAGAAGGATATACAGGTAACACCTATCTATAATCTATTAAGCCGTTTTAATAATATGGTAATGATACAATGGAAATTGTTCGAACTCTTACGCAATGAATGAAGGATACTTGGTCTTTTGTGAAGGAGAAAGGCTGATTATATGCACATGCCCGTTTCCGCAACTATGCTTCCCAATAAGAACATTGGAAATTAACATGGAAAAACAAGTTAATAATAACAGTGAAATATCAATATGTGTCCTTGAACGAGAAGCTGTAAATACGAATATATATACCTGGGCTGCCTCAGAATTGAGTAAGTATTGCCATAGGTACACCACCACGAATCGAGAATTACCCTTCCCAACAACCTGTAATTTCCGCAGCATCTAGCTTCACGACTTACTCTTTTAAGAGAGGTTGTGAAGGAAGGATTTACCCACAACAGGCGTACCATGAACTCAGAGCCCGACAACCAGCTTCCTGTCGACGAGGGTCGAAGCGGCTATGATATAACTGGGCAGGATCACATCTCGCGCCCAATACCGCGGCCGGTACCACCAAAGCTAAACTCGACACCAGGGGGCGCGTCTGACAGCGGGAGCAAGTCTACTCGAGATGGCCGACAGCGTCGTGTTGGGCGAGGCATCTCGCGCTCTCCCTAGGTAGCTCTGACACGGCCACTCTAGCGAATGGGACTGATCTATCTACCCATCTTATTGCTATTATGCGCCTGGTGATGGCCCTCATATTTAGGGCCACATAAAAAAAGGGAAAAAAAAGGAGCCAAATAGATACCTGGGTACCAATAATATCTAAGCCGATGCTTTTCTTTATGCCACATGTGCAGTAGGTATTTTCTTTTCGCAGTGACAGTCACAAATCCATAACGCAGGAGGCCTAGGCGCAACTAGGTCTGTACAGGTACATAACGACACTTCGTATTAATATTCCAACTTTCCTATCTACCTAGGTAGGTACCTTAATGTAGCTATCTACGTGCACTGGGAATAGTAATCGTTCTGCGAGAGAAAAAAAAGGTCAGCAAGGCGCATCTCTCCCTTTACCTGTACCTAAGACAGGCACCGAAAGTCGATCAAGCCGACGTACCTGTTTCTTGCAAGTCAATCCGCTCGCGCAAGTCGTGCATCCCGTGAAGCCGGAGCCGCCGCACTGCGCCCACTGGCTGGCGGTGCATGCCGAAGGAGAGCTTGGCGTCGCGGGCGCTGCGGTCGTGGTGGGTGCGGGTGCGGATGTGGGCGCCGGTTGGGAGCCCTCGTTGCCGCTTGCTGCGCAGGTGAAAGGGTCGGGGCCTACCACGTCCGTGTTAGTGAAATGCTGCAGAGTCATGTAGAAGGATGAGCTAGGTCCAGGTTAGGTTAGGTATGTACCGGGAATGATGTATTTGCTGTCCTTGCTCATCGAGTAGATGTTGATGAGCAGGCCCGGGTCGTCCTGCTTGTAGAGGCCGGGGAGGCTGTAGGTTGCGGGCGTCTTGGTGGCGGAACCCCCAGAGATCTTGATCTGAGCGCATTCCACTGCATTATATGTTAGTATCTACCTTAGGTAGACACAAAGAAGGGGAAGCTATTCGATATATGATATCATCACGTACTATACAGCTGCGCTCCCTTGCTGGCACCAGCTCCGTGGAGTGCAATCATTTCGGCGCGGAGGAGGTACTGCCCATCCGGTAGACAGTCTGGAATCTGGATGGGCTGCTTGCCCGCGTTCTGGATGACTTTTGAGGTGCCCCAGACTCCGTCATTGTAACCGTCGTGCTGAATCTTGAACCAGCCACTTCCGTATCCCTTGTCGGTCGTCGCGTCGTCGACCTTCTTGAGATAGGCAAGCGTAGGTCCTAGATGGCTCGCGTCCATCACATCGTCGGGGCCAGATGTGAGCGTGTGCCTCCAGATGGCATTGACCGTGGAGCCAGCCTTGACGTCGATAATCTTGTCCGAGGGCGTAGTAGGGTTGGGACCACCGTTGCAAGCAACGTCGTTGGACGACACGTCGCTGATGGGTCCGTCGTATGATGGTGTTCGTATGCCGTAAGATACCGGGTTCGTCACACCGTTTGCCTCTAGCTGAACAAAAATCGTGTGCGCGCTGGCCAAGCTGGCGCCGGCGAGGGTGGCTGCGACGGAAGAGTATCTCATTTTGTAAGCTTCAAACAGCAAATAGGCAACGTCTTACGGATCACTCTGGCTGAGATGAAGGCTCCTGTCGATCTAGGGATTTGCGAACAGGAACCTAGGGTCGGTGCCATCTATAAATATTCAGGAGGGCCACCATTGTGTGCCCATGTCGAGAGTCCGGGCGGATCATACGGTAGCAACTGGCCGAGCGACGTTAAGAAACCATGCTTGGGTATCGTCGAAAAGCCAACTACCCGTTTTCTTCTCCAGTAGCCAGCGGCGCGGACGCTCTACGCGGGATCTAGAACGGCGAGAGTTCCATAACTATCCTAGCGTTTCGACGCGTTGTGGTGGATCGAGGGACAACGTAGATGCCATGAACAATCGGCGGAGGTTGCACATCCGGATCTGTATTCGGCAGGCCCCCTTTTATGAATGAGCAGAGGGGGTGCCGCGAAAACCCGGACTCATGTGATGGATAGGCGAACCCCACAAGAGCCCGGGAACTAGGAAATAAATTGGATGATGCAGCTCGAGCATGAACCCAAAACCATAAGCGAGTCGAGTCTGGATTCCAATTCCCTGGTGGGAGAGCATCGTCAGATTCTTGCCAAGACACAACCAAGCCGGGATACCGGCGCGACGTTCAACTATCGTTGTTCACCCCTCCTCTAGCCTCACATTCGTTGTCGTATCTCGGATTAGTGGAATTTCTCCTGCAGCACCCCATTGGAATATATAGCCGATAGCCTTATATTCTCAGCTGATACCTGATAAAAAAAATCAATTTTTAATGTGGTTCGAGTTAAGAGGTTAGATCGTGATGATTGATCCATTGAGAAATCATTGCGCCGGGTATGATTCGGAACGAGTTGCTCAGCCTTCTATTTATTATCCACTGCAGTTATGACTTACGCTTGGGCTCTCATCACTTAAGGTATCACGATCTGGTTAGTTCAAGGTTATGGAAGGTGTCTATTTCGTAAAGTGTACTAAAGTACAGGATCTAACTCGGTACCTAGCTATACGCTATTCTCATTTCAAATTCCAAGGTTGACATGGCTTATTCTAGGTACCTAAGGTAAGATGTGGTTCCGACCGTTATTTGGGGATGTTCGCGACTACAATGGCCTCGACTTCTTCTGGGCTTAGCTGCTTAATTCCCAGAAGCTCGTTGTCAAGCTTGTCAAAGTGACCTCCATACTCCTTGCCCCAAATTCCGACCTTCAAGATGGAAAAGAAGGCGTTTGGATTGAACCCTGTCTTGCCAATCTCTTCCAAACCGTTCTTCAGTATCTCGTCAAGCGATGTGACGTTCTCCTTCCACCCATCTGCTCCTACATGTTTCTTCAAGATCTCTTCGATCTGCTTCAGGCTGATAGCGGCCTCCTGGACGTATACCGGTCTGTTCTTAGTCTGCTCGGGATTCTTCAGCACGCCTACGACGGCCTTGCCAATGGTCGGGAGCGTCGTGCTCGAAGTCAGGTTGTTTCCTCCATCTGGTAGCTCGATAGTACGGTTCTTGACGTCGGCGAAGAATCCTGCGCGGATAACCCAGTCCAAGAAGGCTCCGTTAAGCACGGCAGTCCACGTTAGATCGCTCTCAGCGGCGGCTTTCTGCAATGCTTCCTGAATCTGGACCTTGGGTGCGTAGCAGGGCAGCTTTGCAGCGTTTTTGTTGAAAGTGTTGGAACCGAATTCGGATGGAATGAAACGTTTCACTCCGGTCTTGACAGCAGCGTCAATCAGATTGCTCTGTAGGGTAAGCGACTCGGTTGTGATGGTTGAGACAACAGCATCTTGTCCTCGCAGTGCCTCTGTCAAGGAATCTACTGAGTTGTAGTCGACTTCCTTAACGGTAACATTTGACGGCCAGGTGTGATTGCTCCCTTTGCGGGTGAGGACAGTAAGTTGAAAGTCTGCCTTCAAGAGTTGCTCAAAAACCGGTGCTCCAAGGGCACCGCTAGCCTATGGATTGTCAGTAAGGATCAAATGGGCAAGCTTTTTGTCATAGCTATCCCGTCCACTTACACCTGCAATGGCGACTTTCGTAATAGTAGTCATATTGATGGATGGTGTTAGGTAGTTTAGGTAAAAGTTAGAAGCAGATAGCTAGCTTTTCTTTTGTATCGAGACTTTGGAGGTAATGGTTTTCTGATGAGAGGATGAAGAGAAGATGATGATCTGATTTCTTCTCCTTTCCTCTCGGGCGAGAAGATGGCTTTATATTTCTATATCCCCCCATCTTGTGAAACAACGACTTTGATTAATCATTGTTTATTCCATCCTATTAACGCCATAGCGGGGGGTGATTTCGAAAAGCTTCCTCCTTGACATGATTTAGGGGTATTATTACAATAGCATAACTCTACGGAAGGAGTTAGTTATCCCACATTGGCAAGATCTGCCTTTCATGTTGCCGTTGCCGTAGTGTTCTCTTACTACAGGTAGGTAATGACGGGATCATTCCTCGGGGTCCTTTGGGAAGATAGCCCCCGATCCCCACTTGGCTTGGGCATGGCTTCATCCCACATCCCACATCCCACCTCTTCAATCCCACTTTGCCGTGACTAATGTTTGTATGTCGGTGATGTCGGTGATATCGGATAGCCGCAATAAACTCCGATATCTCCTTCTCGCCAACGAATATGTTTCCCGTCCCACATCTACACTCACACATCCTCCCACATTCTTATTGCAACTTACATATCCCACATTACGTTGAAGTGGGAGAAGTATTACCAAAATTAGACATCTCAAGTTCCAGAACCGGCTCAACCGCTAAACCTACTAAACGCGTGTTAGTCTAATCTAATCAAGCTTTGTTGGTCCGTCAACCCGTGTAAGGACAGGGGAATGGGACTAGATGTCTTCATTACCAAAGACTTGGGAATGCTCGTTCCCCGGGTGTGAGAAACGCTTCACCAGAAAGGAGCATCTAAATCGACATAAACTGAGCCACAACCCCGAGCATCAGTATAAGTGCCACATATGTGGGCGATGTTACGCACGAAGGTACGCATGTTATCCTCAGCCAATTGGCTCTTCTCTTCTCTCCACCTTCACATGGTTAACTTTTGTTCAGTGGCAACGGTTGCTGATATACATGTGCTAGCGACGTATTTAAAAGACACGTGAAGCAACACAAATCAGACGTTTCTCAGCCATTAGACACAACAAGGTAAGTGGCTGGTAACTTTAGGTAGCCCAGCATCATCACTTACACGTTTCGTGATTGCCTTCTAGAATATGTCTTCCATGCGGTGAACGGAACACCCAATGCGATGGGAACACCCCCTGCGGAGCATGTGTTTCGAGCTGGACAGGATGTCTTCGGGCCTGTTCAGATGCCAATAGCCACCATGCGGCTAATACCGAGCCAACGGTCGCGTTACCAACAAGCGATCCCGGCCAGGCATCATGGCTTCCATCAACTCCAAACGGTTGGGGTCCAGGGCCACTGCCGGGTACACCGTCATGCCAGGAAGCATCAAATGCCATGAGTTTTGATCATGAAGGGCATAGTCCTCGATGGCCAGCTGGTCTGGCCTCTTCTTCATCAGATGCGCCCACTGCTAGATTCGAGCGAATTAATTTCGCAACAGATATTCCTAATAGCCCTTTGCAGCAGACGACGCCGCCGACATCAGCACAATCGCAGAGGACCCCAGAAATACCCGGATCTGTTGCGCCGGCCGATTTACAGAACTATCTAGACGTGAACTCATCTAATACCAAGCGGCTTGTCGACCTGTTCTTTAGAGAAATTCATCCGTACTGGGCGATCCTACATGCGCCTACGTTCGAACTGGAAAAAACTCCACCAATTCTGGTAGCATCAATGGTCATATTGGCTAGCTGGTTCGAAAAGGGGCCAGATCACCACAAGCTTGCTCCTATCGTCTTCGACGAAGTATCTCGGATCCGAATGGTATGAAAACCCGTCCCTGCTCTGGACTTCGCCCTCCAACGGCTAATTTAAAACGGCTAATTTAAAACTCTTAGGTTTTCCGACCGCCGTTGCACTTATTACAGGCCATTCTGTTCTATGTTGTTTACGCGACGTACACGCTGGTATGTTGAGACATGGATGCCTCCAATACTGTTGCTCTCTTATCATATACTGACATTTATCTATTAGAGCACGGATGGCATGGTACCAAAAGCCCTCAACCTCACAGGCCTTCTAGTATCAACTTCTCGGTATCTTGGTATTTTCAATGGTCAGTTCTTATGTAACGAAATGAGCGACTCGGATCCTAGTTGCCCATTTGCCGTTTGGCGTATAACAGAGCAACTGAACAGGTACTCCCTATTCCACGCCAAAAGAGAAAAAAATAATCACATACGCTAACAAAGAGGTTCTTCTTTTCTGTTTAGACTTGCGTTTTCTGTTCTTCGCGTAGACACATACCTCAGCATGCTCCTTGACCATCCGCCCTCGGTACGATACCAAGAATTATGGATTCCTCTGCCAAAGTCTTCTCAACTATGGGCCGCTTCCAACGAACCCGAGCGACGAAAGCTCCAATGGAACGAACCAGCAGGTCGCGAGAAGGCGCTCTTCTCGTTCTTCATGCGCGACGCCCTCAATCCTTACCGTGGGAAATTGCCGTACTGCCTCACCGACATCGACTACCACCTGAGCACCTGCGCGGCGCAGGCGACGATCTGGGAATTCGCGCGAGAGGCCCACAGTTCCATGTCGGACGAGCTCGCCGACGAGATCAGCCCGGGCGTTTTCGTCGACATGGCCCGTCCGCAACTTACCCTCTGGCGGGACAAGAGCAAGCAAGACTACCCCCTGCTCGAGCAGTACTTCGCGGGGAGCCTGCCCGGGACCGACCATCTCCTCGCGCCTCTGACGTTTACGCTGATGTTCATGGCCACGCTGAAGATGTTCGCCCCCATGAACGTCCTCCGCATCAAGGGGCACTACTACAAGTCTCGCCCCGGCGCCGCGATCCCGACCCGCAAGCCACAGACCCATCTGCAGAGCTGGATCTCGACGGGGTGTCCGCGGGCCGCGCTCTGGAACGCCGCGCAGATCTGCCGGATCTTCGTTATCGAATCCACCCGCACAGATGACGGCGACAATCACGACCACGACCAAGACCACAACAACTCCGGCAACGGAACCACCACCAGCAGCTCCTCCTCCCTTCTCCGCGCCCGTCTGCGGCTAAACCCGCTCCTCATCCCTGGCGTTCTCAAGAGCGCCATCGTAGCGTGTTCCTACGCGCGTCTCAAAGGGCGCTGCGCTAACTGCCGCAGCGAAGGCGAGTCCCCAGGGGAATTACCGACGTCACTAGCATCATTATGCACCACCTCCACTACCACCTCCGTCACCGCCGCCTGCTCGTCCTCCTCATCGTCATATCCATCTTCCTCACCCATCCCTACCTCTACCACCGACACCATCGACGACGTAATCCACCTCTTCTCCGCCGACGAGCAGAGCGCCACGTTCCAAGCGTGGCGAGACCAGGGCACGCCGACGCCGTACTGGGGCGGGATCCGCGGCAGCGAGAGCGTCCGCGTGTGCAAGTGCCAGCTGTCGCGGCTCGCGGCCTGGTTCCGCGGCGCCTTCGCCGACGACGAGGCCGCCCAGATGGAGTTCGTGCTCTTCCTCGCCGAGCTGAGCGGCGAGCCCAAGTAATACATAGAGGGTAGTAGATCATAAGACGGGAAGGGGAGGGGGAGGGGGGATAGAAAGGAGGGAGGGAAGTGTCGATATACGCATCTTTGGGTCTAGTGGGATTTATCGAGCGAGAGCCACGCGTATAAATGTTGAGGTCTATATCGCTTGCGCACAGGAATATGGAACAGATGCCTACCTCCTAAAGTATGAATAAATATAAGCTATACCTGAGATGATCGTTTCTGATGTCGTATATTTACGGCCAGTATAATAAGACGCGGACTCCTTGCTACTATCTATCATATTGTTCTGTGCCTAAAGCTGCAAATCTCGTTATGAAGAAAAAAAGAACTGGAATATTAGACCGAGGGAGGTACATAAGGCATACACATCTACATTATCTAGATATCAAGCCATAAATTTACATATCACTCCTCGAGCATAAAGACTATGACGAAATGCATGCTGGTTTCAAAGTACCTTTTCCTTTTCAGGATACTGTAAAATTAGGTAACTATCGCAACGCTTCGCAAAGGCAATTCACTTTCGCATGTCCTCTCCGGGAGCTGAGCAGAAGCGGCCTCGCTTGCCTTTTTCTTCCCCTTAACGCCAGTGACAAGCCGGATATGATACCACATCACCTAGTCCAAAGGTACCCTAAGTTCCCATACCTCCCAGGCGTCCCTACCAGGACTAACCAGAACCAGGCCTGGCATATCAAAGCCTCCCTCAGCGCAACAACTCTCGCCGTCAAGTCAAGCTCGTATTTAATGAGCCTCCTTCTCCAAGGCTTCTAATTCCTTAACAACTGCAGCTTTCGTGGCGATCTTCTTCATTTGGGTGTCCTCTAGCTTCTCACCACCAGCATGTCGCATTTCAAGGTCCTCGATTGCGCGGATCTTTTTCTGCAAGCTGCGCAGTTTCTTGGACGCGGGGTTCTGGCTGCCGGGTGAGAGCAGAGCGTCAGTAGTAGGTGGCTGAGATGTCTGGATCTGCGGAGCAGCAGGTGCTGCTTGTCCATTCTGATGCGTGTTGCTGCGGTGACGTCCTTGGTTGTTACCGCCTTGGAAGTTGTGCCGCGAGCGACTTCGATCATGTCTTCGCTGATTAAACTGCTGACCTCGACGCTCAGGACTACGTCCCTCGTTCCCAGAACCAGGACCTTGATCCCTAGGCGGAGGCGCCAGACCACCGTTCTCTTTCCTCTCTCCATCCTTGCTCTCGGGATCCTTGGCCTTCTTGTTATTTCTCTTCTTCTTGTTCTTAAGCGCAGTCTTCGACAAATTTTCGTCGCCGTTGGCACCCGGCGTATCGGCTGGTACCGCGCCTGGGACGGTACGCGCACCAGATTCGAGGAATTCCGCACCGGGAACCTGACGACGCGGTCGTCCAAATCCGTTCGGACCAACATTCTGGGCACCGTTAGTCATAACATGGGCCGCGCCTCCCTCGTCCTCACGTCTAAAGTGAAGCGGTGTCGACATTCCTCGGGCGCCAGGAGGACGATAAGCTCCAACAGGCTTCGACGGAGTTTTCACTGTTCCTAGGTATGCGACAGCCGAAGAATGGGGGGTGGGAATTGGGTGTAGCGGGTCATCACGGGGGAGGTTCTCGGGGAGAACAGGTCTCCACGTTACGTTATAAAGCTCCACCATGTCTTCGTGGTACATGATGCCCCCTCCGACGTGCCATATCTTGATGCCATTATCAACACGGAGGCGCGGGGACGTTGTGGCGGTCATGATATATCGACTGTCGGGGCTCCATTGGCACACGCTAGGGCTGCCACTCTCAATCGTGCAAACCTTGCGGTAACCCTTCTCCAAATCGTAAACGTCAATTTGGCCAGCAAGATTGCCGAATCCAGCAATCAGGGCAAAACGACCGGTGGGCGAGAAGATGATCGTGTTCCGGGGCGCAATAGGAAACGAGTGGGTGGCGACGGCTCTGTGGTTAAATAGTGTGGTCTTCGCAGGCATATAGCCGTAGATAACACCGAACTCTTTACCGTTTGGAGACCAGGACACATCGTGGATCGGACCATCCTTATCCAAGGTGACGCGAGCGTCTAGGGAGCCGTTGGCGGAAAGAAGGTACAGAGTAGTTTCTCCGTAATAACTCTTGTTTGATTTATCAACATCCGTTTGTGCCAGCACAATAAGGCTTGTTCCCAAGCTGTTCCACTTCAGCTGAACCTTGTCGCCCTTAAAGAAAGTCTTCTGGGAAATCGGGGTTGTGAACTGAGGAACGTTGTAAACCTTAACCGCAGCAGGTTGACCCTAGATTATTTGACATTAGCCTCAAGTAGAGTCGAAAAATTAGCTAAAATAGTAAACGAACCTTTCGCTCGGGGATAAAAACGGCAACATTGTGGCTCTGCCCAGGAGCAATGGCAAAATCGGTCACGCCTTCGACTCGAAGCTTATCCCAGACTTTGCTTAGATCATGGCTCTCATAGAACTGCACTTCGTTGGTGACAAGACGAGCGCAGAACTTCTCGTCGGAGGTGTATTGAAGGTTCCAACCGGTCTGGGACTTTTGCACAAACTTTCCTATCGGTTGCTTCTCGACGCCATCGGGGAGGTCTTCAATGGTTCGCCAAATCTTTAAATTCTTAGTCGCATCACCAGCCTCATCCTTTGCGGGGCGCTCCCAGGTGCTTACGAAACAACCCCGGGGAGAAAAGGCGACTTCGAAGACGTTAGGGACAGGTATGTTAGTTAAAACATGGCCAACAGATGCGTCGATAATGCAGACACGTTCGCTGGATACCCAGGCGAGATACCGGCCGCAGGGCGAGTAGACACAGCACCGCAAATTCCCTTCGGGTTTAACGAATCCAGGTAGAGGCTCGTAGACAGGCGCAGCGTCGGTGACACCGATGGCCTTCTGGGTTCGGTAAGCAAACTGCAACGGATTCGCCATGACTAGTCAAAGTCACAGGGAAAAGGATATATTGCAGGGGGTTGTGGAAGTATTTTTCTTGTCGTTTGTATCAAAATTATCTTGCCTAAGGGCTCGAGGCGGCAGTCAGGCGTATGGAGAAACGGAGCAGATTTATCGAAAAACTTTTCTCAGTCGACCTAATAATAAAGCTCAAAGATGATGGATGACTGCTGTCCCAATACCAGTTAAAGATATTAAGCAGGTCGATATCACCGAAGGCTCGTATCGAGAAGGTTACCCGTCTATGGAATAAAACGGTAGCTCGTGAAAAAAGGTCGCAATGGATCGAGAAAGATGTTGCTGCGCCGCGATAAAAGCCTTTTGGTCTTCGGTTGAAGATGCAGTTTAACTTGTCGAGAGACCAGGACCAGATTTGACGCCTCGGGTAGGCACGAGAGGAGGATTGATGAAGTAATAAAAACGGCAAGAAGAATAGAAGGGAATTTGACAGGTCACCCAGAGAGAGGGGATTGACGAGAGGCAGTGGGTGGACGTGACCGTGACGGAACGGAGCTTGAGTGGGCTGGAGAAGAAAGAAGGGGACGAAGTGAAAGACGAAAAATTAGAATAAAACTAAAAAAGCGAGTCATGGCGGCTGACAAGGAAATTTCTGTCGTGTCCAGCACGTTACAGGGCCTGAGGGCCAGCGTCAGCCACAATTTAACCCTATCTAGCTAGCGGCTAGCTAGCGGCGTCGGGGTTCACTGAGATTCTTTTCCCGCTCCCAGCCCCATGATCGTCGGGCTAGACCTAAAACTTGAGTTGAACCCCTGCAGCCCACGGCTGGCAGCTGCCTTCTTTTCTGCTTTTGTATTCCCCAAGCTTCTATTTTGGGATCGGGACGACGTAGGGTTAACTCTTTTAGCCCAGTTATCTATACTAAGGGTAGGTACCTACGAAGTTACCTCATACATGTATTTAATCAGATTGGGGTCAGACCGTAGTACAGATAGTACCTAAGTGGTAACCAATCTATACCTTAGGTAGGTAAGTGCCTACCCAAGTATATAGAGATATATACTTACTTCATACTAATTAATATAGTTACGTAGAGATTAAGGTTAACATAAGGTAGGTATAGGTAGCTTCACCTACCAAATAGCATCAATTAGAAGTATATAATTGTTGCCCACCAATATCGACAAATAGGTCCCTACCTCTATCTAATATAACCTCTTTTAAGCACATGGGGTACCAGATCAAAAATGTACAAAACAATATTTGCCTATTCACTTGCGATCATCTCAACTACCTAGGTTGAGACGGCTAAGGCAGTTGAAGGCCATGTGGCAATCACGTCATAAACTTAGGGGGATGGAACCCCTAATTTCTAAGCCCTAAAGCCAAAGTTTGTCACAAACAAACATCTAGGTTACTAGCTTCCTTAGTATACAACTCTTATCCCATTGGTAACGTCATTCATGGATGTTTCATGTAGGTAACACGAAATTGGTGCTACTAATTTTTCTTACGTTGTGGATATTCTCATAATACTTACTGCCTTACACAATCTCTTCACTCAATCCGGTTCACCTTAAGATTTCATATTCAAGGCAAAGATTTGAACAAAAAAAAAGAGAAAAAAAACTGACTATTACCATATCGTAGAAAGCCTAGGCAATCTACTCATCACCAAGACGAGACACATATTGCCATACACAATACGAATAGAAACCCCTTCGGATTAGTCCCCGAATATCAAACGGCCTAACGAGCGAGTTTACGCATCTCATGGCTCATTCAATGATTCAAACAGCTCCGTCCACACGAGATACAAATTGGACAACTTGGACTTCTCGTACGGCCGAATCCTCTTGCCATCTTCTTCAATCTCAAAGATCCAAGTGGGAAATGTCACCAACGTAGAACTCCTAAACGGTTTCGGTGGATTGGACCAGATCCGATGCATCTGCGGTGCTCCGCAGTTGACCTGTATTGCTCGATATCCTCTGGACTTCATTTCCAGCATTACGAATTTCGATAGCTCTCGCATGAACCCTTTACCATCATATCCGGGTCTCGTTCCGCTGCCAACCCGCTCGATTACTTGCCCGGCCGCCGTCGGCTCCCATGATCCTTTCCGCCGCGGGTCGTGTGTCTCATAATATTTCTCCATATGCCCATTAAGAGGTGCGGCCTTTAATGCAGCTTCCCATCCCTTAGGATCTCCCGGGTTGAATTTGTCGAAAGATAATCCAAACCCAATGATTGGAAAATCTAACGCGTCAAGTAGTTTTTGCCGCCCATTAACCTCCAGATCAGGATCGTCGATATCAAAGTCGTCCCAATAACAAGCACCACCATTAACAGCTGATTCAGGTCTCTTAAATATAAATTCCTTATCCCAGATACAGAATGAAAGACCATTCCTCGCTGCCATCTCCGGCATCTCATAGAAAGGCTTACAGGCATGATATGCCTTTAACGCTCTTCTTGCCTGGTGTCCTTCGTATATGGCGCTCCAGATCGGCGAGTCGAAATAATGAGTAAAAAAACTCAAGGCCGAGATCGAGTCGGCAAGATCGGGCGTTATTAATCGGATTTCATACCCCGAAGGCAACTCAACCCCGTGGTTGTTCTGTATCGGGGCACCTGGTCCCATCGCCCTCTAGGTTAAACACTCGCAGTACTTCGAACTTATCCCCTATCTTCTTTACAGGAGTAGTAAGTTGCGCTTAGACATTAAGCCCGTCTAGAAGGCAAAATATCACGAAAAGACGCCTGTCTTCAGTGCTATTAGGCAAATAGCTAAGGTACCTAATCTATCTTACAAGACCCAAACTTTAACTTCGGAAATATACGACAATCTATATATCCCGTCATTGTGTGAGCGTGATATATACGAGATAGTACCTGCCTTGGGTACGTACGATGCATGCTAATGTAGCAAGGAACTCGCTGCACACAGGCAAGGGGGTATGCGACCAATCGAATGAGTCAATTCATCTAGCTGTGTCACATTGTTCACCGCACGTATGGACATATTAGGAAGCTGACTTCTCTCAGGATGACTTGGCAGCCTGTCATTACAATTCTCGACGTCCTTCCTATCACCCCAGATGTCGTTTCTCACGATACACGATGTCCACCTGACCATGAAATGATCGTTATCTCTAGACTACGCATCGCTAAATACAAGTCTCGTGCGTAATATGTTATGGTCAGCATCAAGATAACCAGAATCGATCATTGGCTAACGGCTGGCCTTACTAAATCAAGCAGTATACTCAATCGTGAAAATAGACAGCTGATATTTTTGTAGCAGGCTTATTCCTATCATCAGTATGATAGCAGGTATATTATAGCATATACTAATATATGGCTCCGATCTACGGTCTAGATGTTGCAGATAGGCTTTACCACCCTGCGATTCTAGCGTCAAGCAGCAAGGTATCTATAACATCATCTCCCAAAAGCAATGTTACACTTACTGCCCAAGTAGGTGATCCAATGATGATGAACCCGGACAAATGACCTATAGTCTCTAGCGGATTTTCATCTTTCTTGAGCTAGACATCTGTCCGTATAATCTTAGGTACCAGCGTAAATAGTTGCGCAACAGGGACCGAGACTTTAACAGATACTTGCGACGGGTCGAAGTCGGCTCGGTCTTTCCTCGCCGCAACGGTAATAGATACTATATCATCCGTGAGACGAGTTAAGCTACCTACGATAAATGCCTTATCCTGTATAGGGAAGACTTGAGTCTCAAAGCCTTTCGCCGCGATGGTAAAAGACGACACTCCCGTTAACTTGGCGTCAGGTATCGAGAATTGAAAGTACTGCGTTGTAGCGTTCGTTTAGCTATCATTCAGTTTGAACACAGTAGTTCCCAGGTTGTCCTCGGGGACTAGTGTCTCCGTATGGTTATTTGAAAAAATTATCGAGACCGGGTCCTTCGAAACCTCTCCAGCGTACAACATCTGGTTACTTCTTAGCCCGTGTATCACGGTTGGTTTGATATCTTTTCTTTTATCTGCCACTTACCAAATTTTCCAGAGAGGATTCACTGGTTATTGCTGGTGACATCCCAAGTCCCATTTATCGGCTTGGTGAGCGATGGAGCTGTTTCCGATTGAAGCTCTACCCCTGATAGAACAGTGTTGAGCATACGGCTTAGCAAGTCTACGCAAGGGCCTTGAAATCCTCCCGTTGAGCGTACAATTCCAACATATTCCTGTTGCTGTCGATCACGTATCGTCGGAGATCAGACCTACTACTCTCATTGAAACTAGTAACGAATGCACCGCCCCTAGCTCCTATAATGTCGATATATTCATGAACCACTGCCGGATCGAACACTGCCTGGGTATTATCAAAATCCGATGCACCATTGGTGTTGCTCAGAGTTATAGCGGACTCTTCAACCACTTCGGCAAAGCCTCCGGCGTGTACATTTTATAGCTCGGATTAGTACCAATCTATACCACCAATGCGCACCGCACGAGAAGTTATCAAGTATTGATTTTTATTCGCATTGACAGAACAGTCATAACAGGAAACGAGTCGTGAAGAATTAAGATTCACAAATCCTATCGTATTGGCCACATGCAGTCAAGCCGATAGCGTCGCGTTGGTTGAAGCCAGTTTTCTCGAATTGCGCAAGCGTTTCTTCTACATAGATGTACCGACATAACCGTTCTGATGGCAAGCAGATCAACCAATTGATATAATATCTCACTCAGCATGGAAGATCCAAAGGTCTCTCGGGGCGGGGGGGGGGGGGGGGGGGGGGGGGGGGGGGGGGGGGGGGGACGGGGGCGCGCGGCGCGCCCGCCGGGCGGGGCACGACGCGCCGC